CAGCACCCCCACACCCCCAAAAAGGTCCCCAGCCCAGCCCCAGGAGCAGCACCTGTGGCTCCCATAGAAAGAACAGGAAATGCTGGAAAGGCACCCGGGGTGACAGGAGAAGGGTCCCCAGCATCAGAGAATGTCCAGGGCTGGGCTGGCCCTGCAGGCTGCAGGCCTGGGACTGAGCCCGGGAGGAGGAGGGGGAGGAGGAGGAGGAGGGGGAGGAGGGAGGGGGAGGAGGGGAGGGGGAAGGAAGGAAGGGGAAAGACATTGGGCAGGAGAGAGGCCGCCTTTGTCCGCATCTGTTGCTCAGCCAAGCAAAACAATGAGGCTATTTTTTTCCTCCTCTCCAGTGCCTTAAAAAAAAAAAATTCAAGAATTTCCTTTCCTCCTGTGAAACACAGCTCTTGCATAATTTTCATGCTTCCCCGCAGTCTGAACTGCGGAGGGAAGGGGACATCAGACTGTCCCAAGGAGCTCAGAAGTGGAAAGAGCCCAGGGGCTGACCCTGTGGCACTCAGTGGCTCAGGCGTCTGCCCAGAGGGACCTGGTGTCTTCCAAGCACCCAGGAAGAGGCTCACGGTACCCCAAATGCTTCTGCTAATCCTACTAATGAACCCACAAGCATTCGAGAATCTGTCCTTCCCTTTTTGAAACCCTAAGGTTCAGACAATGTCACACCAAAGCCAGGAGGAGAACCACAGTTCACCAGGAGGCTCGGGAGGCTGAGGCAGGAGGATCGCAAGGTGGAGGCCAGCCTCAGCCACTTAGCGAGGCCCTGAGCCACTCAGTGAGACCCTGATTCTAAATAAAATATAAAAAGGGGCTGGGGACGGGGCTCAGGGGTTGGGGGTCCCTGGGTTCCATCCCTGGGACCAAAAAATAAAAAAAGAACCAGGATTTCATTCTGAACCTGCCTGACTTCAGAGCCCAGGCCGACTGCACTGCAGCTCCGTAGCTCTCTGGAATGTTCCAGAAGCAGAGGCTGAAACGCGCTGTGCATCTCCCAGAGCAATTCACCAGGCACCACAAGCAACGACCCGAGCTCGCAGGGGGGTCTGCAGACGGAAGACCAAAGCCAACCTGGGACCTGAGGTCTCTCCAAGTTCAAGTCCGTGGCTGGGGAAGAGCACCCAGGGGCGCTCGGGGACCCTGCTCTGAGCCCTCCCACAGTCGGGGGCACAGCTGTCCCTCCTGCTCCTGTCCATCCAGTCTGCAGGCTCTGGGCAGGGCTCAGGTGGCCCCAGAGAGCCAGGCAGGACCCAAGAGTGTCCCTGACAGGGGGTGGCAGGAAGGGCCTTCCCAGAAACCGTCCCAGGAGACCAGTGTGGTGGCTTCCCAGGATTCCTTGGTGGCCTGGCAGCAGCTGTGCGGAGGCTGGAGCTGGGCAGACGGGCCAGGGACCCCCAGGCCAGGCCCCCACGGCCCCCACGACCTGGCTGCTCTTGACACATGTCCCCCTTCCCACCCGGGGGTGGCACTGATGACTGCTGATCGTCACCTCCAAATGCAAAAGTGCTGGGCGACAGGCTCATCCTTCACCTGGGAAGCTGACGCGCACATCTGACGACGTTCCCTTGAAAAGACCGACGAGAATTTGCTGGAACATTCTAGAAGGGGGGACCAATAAGGAGAAATCAGAGCCCCTGCTGTTTCCCGGGGTCCCCGGGCTGGTGGAAGGGGACTCTTTTAAAAGGGGGCCACTTCAGAATGTGGCTGCCACCTGACTTTCCCAGATAGCACGGGATGTCACCTGGCGGGACGCACCTATCACGGCCGCCATCTCCCTCCTGGGCGCCGCTCCCCTCGTTCACTCACTCAATTCTGCTCCATGGTGAGCCGGGGTGACCTGGTGCCCCCAAGGCAGCCGGGAGTCTGCCTGCGAATGACGACCAGGGAACATGTGTCCCCGGGTAGGGGAGGAGGGACACCCAGCCCTGCACAGGCCACTCTCCAGCCCCTCAGCACCCAGGTGGCTGGGGAAATGGGGGTCCCTGCATTCTGCAGAGACCCTGTTCCTGTTCCTAGGCGCGCTGACTAATGCAGATTTTGTATCAAATGCCACAGACCAATTAGAAGTCGTGTGGTGTCACACCCACTCATCTGTCCCGCAGCCTCTGTGACATCCATCTCAGAGACACTTCCTTTGGAAGATCTGTGCTGTGATCCCGGGAGGTCAGAGGACGACACCTGATTTCACAGGGGCTCCGCCTGGGGACCGCTCTGTCCCTGCAGGGACAGCCACCACGGGGTCCAGGCAGCAGCCTGGCACGGCCTGGCTCTGTGTCATTGCGCTGTGCCGTGGTGCTCAAGAGGAACCAGGCCCAACCTGTCAGTGAACCAAGTGATGAGTGACCTGCAGACATGGTTCGTCCTCAGCAAGAACTGCACACCTGTCATTCCAGTGGCTCAGGAGGCTGAGGCAGGAGGATCGCAAGGTGGAGGCCAGCCTCAGCCACTTAGTGAAGCCCTGAGCAACTCAGCGAGACCCTGTCTCTAAATAAAATCTAAAAAGGGCTGGGGACGAGGCTCAGGGGTTAAGCACCCCTGGGTTCAATCCCTGGGACCAAAAGAAAAAAAGTCTTCACAGAAAAAAAACATAGAATATCTGAAAACAGGGAGGCCGGGAGGCAGGGAGGCCGGGAGGCCAGGAGGCCAATTTTTTTTTTTCCCCCCCTGTGAGCAATTCTTTGTGTTTGGTTGATGAACTTCTAGAAAAAGAAGTCTGGGTGTGGAGGCCACTGGCTGGAGGCCTCAGCTTTGACTGCTGTGAGGGTTAAGGGGGTAATCTTGACACTGATGTGAGAGGGGCCCCCAAATACAGCCGGCCTCTGACTTCAAACCCACATCTCTCCATCTGGTTTTGGATCAGAAAGCCGCTGTTTGGCTTCTGTGATCCTTTCTAACCTCTGCCGTTTAGGTACAAGCCTGCAAAGTGTATTTTCTCTGATTAAAGAGAAAAAGAAATGTTGGAAGAAACAATATTTTCTTTTTCAAGAAAAAAAAAAAAAGACAGTGGGAGCCAGTCTCTGGCAAGGTCAGGGTCTTAAAGGCGCAGAGCACAGGCCCGCGCACCTCTGGCTTCCCCGTTTATTTAGTCTTAACTGTGCTGACCTGGGAGCTCCACGTGCATCGCCCAAGTGCAAGTCCCTGAGCAAACACTGCCCCCTGCTGCACCAGACGGCTCCCAGGCCCGCCTCTGCAGGGGACAGTGCCACCCACCGCCCCTGGGTCTCTGGGCTTGGAGGAGACTGTCAGGAAAGAGACGACACACATCTGCTAGGGAGTGCCTGCAGGGACGTCCCCAGATTGCCCTGGGAGGCAGATCAGATAGGAGGACACGGGAGACTCCACTCCAGAAAGGAGGCCCAGAGGACTGGCTCTTAGCCTCCCTGAAAATAGTCCTTCCTCAAAAAGAAACTTTTCTGTCCATGTACTTTTAAAAAAAGTTGAGGAATGATTAAAAGAACCCATGATAATGAGTTAATATTACCATTTTTTTAAGCCCAGAAATCTCTGCCAGGAAGAGGTTCTATTTGATTCTAGAAAGAGAATAAAGGGGCCTGGGGGGACTGACACTCTCTCCTCCAGCCTGTGGGGAGGGTTCTGTGCCCACCAACCCATGTGGATCTCAACAGGGCCTCAAAGTTCGAGTGCAGTGGTGCATGCCTATATTTCCAGAGGTCCAGGAGGCTGAGGCAGGAGGATCGCATGGTGGAGGCCAGCCTCAGCCACTTACCGAGGCCCTAAGCCACTCAGTGAGACCCTGTCTCTAAATAAAATGCAAAAAGGGCTGGGGATGGGGCTCAGGGGTCGAGGGACCCTGAGTTCAATCCCCAGTACAAAAGAAAAAGAAAAAAAAAAATCCCGTCCTGTCTCAGGATCAGGTCTGAATTAATCCCCTTCCTCCAAAGAGCTGCAGTAGCAAAGTGAAAACAGACCTGCACACGGTGCCCTTTGAGAGCCCCAGCAGGGGTGACGGGGCCCAGGCAGCCCCTGGCTCTGAAAGGACCCCTCAGGTTAAAGGTTCACGGAGGCAGAAGAATTACCAAAGGACAAGTTTGTTCGAATTTCCTGCAGCAGATCCAAACAGCCGGGGTCAAGCCGGAGCCGGCCCTAGCCCCCAGCGACGGCCAGTCACACAGGGAAAGGGCACTGTGGGCCAGGAGGGTCTGTGTCGGGGCTTTTAAAAGCGATCGTGAAAGGGCCACCCCCCCTGTCACCTGTGGAGGTGCAGGGAGATGGCCTCCCTAAACCACAGGCTTCCACCACCCGGGCCTCAAGGAGACGGTGGGGACACGGAGCAGAGGTGTGAGGGCCTCAGATGCAGGGCACCTCATCCAGCCTCGGGGGGGGGCCGAAAAGTGGGCCTCCCAGAAAAAATGTACAGATCCAGCCAGGCCTGTCACCCCAGGAGCTCCGGAGGCTGAGGCAGGAGGATCGTAAGGTGGAGGCCAGCCTCAGCCAAAGCAAGGCCCCAAGCAACTCAGCGAGACCCTGTCTCTAAATAAAATAGAAAAAGGGCTGGGGCCGGGGCTCAGGGGTTAAGGGTCCCTGGGTTCAATTCCTGGGACCACAAAAACCCAATTCTGCGGTCCCGAAGATCAGGCAAGGCAGGCTCCACAGGCCGAGCCGGGTAACGCGAACCAACTGCAAGAAGTAATTTTCAAAAGAAGAAAAGTCAGGTTTATCTTTAGGTAGCACCTGTGCCCGCCACCAAATAAATATCCTCGGGAAGTAGGTTAGAGACAAAGGAAATGATTTGAGTCTTCCTGGAGGCCCCAGACTGGAGAAGCGAGATCACAACGCGACAGACACGGGGACAGAGAAAGTCACTTGTCCCCACAGCCCAGCTGTCTTTTCTCCTGCCAAGAGAGGATCCCCCCATTCCCAGAGTCCTCCCTACCCGCCCAACCAGGGCCACTTCAAAGCGGCAGGAGCCTAATCGCACAGCACAAGAAAATAAAAGACCTAATTAACCAAAACAAAAAGTCAAATAATCCAGGGGAGAACGGAAACAGAAATCTCTATTTGCGACAATTCGATTTCCTGTATGTGTATAAACTGTTCCTCGCCAGTGACAGTTTTCCTCCAGTGCAGGTATGGCTCAGGCTGGGCGAGGCCGTGGCTTCTAGAAGGAGAAGTAAGGCAAAGGTGGGCAGGGTGGCCCGCATCTGTCATCCCAGCAGCTCAGGAGGCTGAGGCAGGAGGATCGCAAGGTGGAGGCCGGCCTCAGCCACTTAGTGAGACTGTCTCTAAATAAAATACAAAATAGGGCTGGAAAGGGGACTCAGGGGTTAGGGGCCTGTAGGTTCAATTCCCCCCAAATCCTCAAGGCCAAGGGAAATCTGGCCATCAAGCTCCAAGGCAAGGGAGCCTCAGGCCCAGCCTGGTGGAGACTCCATTCGACAGGGCTTCAACTATGGGCTGTTTCCGGGGACACCTGCCCAGATCCTCCTCCAACCTGCATGGAGTGATCTTGGGAAACCCAGGGGACATGCGGATGGCAGACCAAGGAGCTACTGGGGGAAAAGTTGAAAAAAAATCGATTTTAAATGATCCCAGCTTTGCCCCAAGTTGGGCCCACGGCTTCTGACTTTGAACCTGACCTTCCAGCCCAGTGGGGGCCTCCACCGCGGAGGCTGGGCGTTCTTTTCGATTCCTCGCAGGACTCGGAGAATATTCTTTGATTGAACATTTGATATGTTCTGTTCTCAAGGGCGAAGCCCCGGGAGAAGAAAAATAGGCCGCAACAGGATGAAATATGACTCCCTGCGTCCATTTTTCTTTCCTGTGGCTTCCTGATCAAATATTCTGCATGAATTGAGACTCAAGGCTGCGGCGGGGACGTGGGCCTCCTCCCACACTGTCACCCAAAGCAAAGCAAAGCAAAGTCACCCGCTGTCCAGCGCCTGGAGAAAGTGCTGCCCAGGAAACTCGACTGCAGCCTCCTAGGGACAGTGGAGGCCACTCCATTTTGGAAGGGCGGCAGGGGGTGGGCGGAGTGTAATCAGGTGCCAGGAAACGCACTCCTGTTTGTAGGGGCTACTGCAGGAGGCTGCCTCCCGGACAGGGAGGCCCTGGAGGAAGTGACTCCCGGGTCAGGCCCTGTGACGCTTGGTGGTGGAGGACGTTGCAGAAATGATACTGCAGAAAAGAAGGTTCTGGATATGGGGGTGAGTTTTTAAGATATTTTTTGTACCAGGGATGGAACCCTGGGGTGCTAACCCCTGAGTCCCGTCCCCAGACCTACTTTGGGTTTTATTTAGAGACAGGGTGTCGCTGAGTTGCTCAGGGCCTCGCTAAGTGGCTGAGGCTGGCCTCCACCTTGCGATCCTCCTGCCTCAGCCTCCCAAGTCACTAGGATGACAGGTGTGGGCCACCAGACCTAGTACGTTGTGTGTCTTTTAATGAAGAAGAGACAACAAGTGTCCCTCACTGGGTCTGCTCACAGGGACAGGGAACTCAAGCCTGCACATTAGGAGCCAAACACACTCAGATGAAGAAGGCACTTCCCCTAGACACACACACCTTTCAGTGACCTCGATATCTCAGGACGAACACGTGGTCAGCACAACTGGACCTGTGCTCCTGCAGCCGGGGGCAGCGGCGCACCCTGGAATCCCAGACTGGGGAGGCTGAGGCAGGAGGATCACAAGTGGGAGGCCAGCCTCAACAATTTAGTGAGATCCTGTCTCTAAAAAAGGGGCTGGGGATGGGGCTTGGTGGTAAAGCATCTCTGGGCTCAATCCCTGGGACCAAAAAGAGAGCGAGAGACAGAGACAGAGACAGAGAGAGAGAGAGAGAGAGAGAGAGAGAGAGAGAGCGCAAAGCAGCTCAAGTATCGCCAAGACGTGCTCTCCAGGCTGCAAAGACAGACCCCCCCAGGCCCCTGCTGGGTTCCCTCCAGTCCCACCCACAAGCTGACCACTCTAGCAGGGCAGGCCCAAGCCAAGAGGAAGCAGCACTTGCAGCCTGGGCACAGGAGGGAGGGACGGGGTGACGAGCCGGGAGAGGAGACCCCTGTTCATTAAGCACCCGGACAAAAGACCCGGAGGCGCAGCGCCGTTCATCCTGGCGGCCACCAGAGCAGGATGAATGGCCAGACCTGGATGGCACCATCTTTCAGATCCCTGTCCCCCCAGAGAGAGATGAGGACGCGTCGGCCTCACCCCATGGCCTCCAGACACACGTCACTGCATCTTCCTGGAGCTCCCACCCGAGAGATGGATGGTGGAAAACGGATTCGAGGAGACGTCCCGCCCCGACACAGCGCGACAGGGGACGGGGACGGAGGGGACACGTCGCCCTCCACACTGAGGGGGCCACGGGGGGCGGGGACGTCAGATCCGCTGGGTGGCAACTAACACTGGTGTGTCCCAGGAGCCCCGTGCGCTCTGAGCCACAGTCACAAGATGGGAACGTGGCCCTCGACCTCCCCAGGCTGCTCGGCAGGGACACAGGACAGGGCAGGGGTGGGGGTGACCCCAAGAAATCACTGGATAACTGTAAGGACTGTTGCCACTGCTGACCTCACAGGGCCACGGGTCAAGGGAGATGAAGCCCAATGTTCAGCTGGGCACCATGGCCCACGCCTGGCATCCCAGCAGCTGGGGAGGCTGAGGCAGGAGGATCGCAAGTTGGAGGCCAGCCTCAGCCACTTAGCAAGGCCCTGTCTCCAAATAAAATATAAAAATGGCTGGGGACGGGGCTCAGGGGTGAGGCACCCCTGGGTTCAATCCCTGGTACCAAAAAAAAGGAGAGAGAGAAGCCAATGTGGTCACCATGACCTGCCTGTGATGGAGGCCCACAGTTGAGGTCAAAGGTCAGCCTGGTTCTAAAAGCACAGCGCTTCTTGGCTTAACAATAAGGTCACCAAACGTTGACGACACTCAGACGAGACGCGTTTCCTACTAAGGACCGTCACAGCTCAGGGAGGCAGCACACCACGGAGCCTGGGCTGTGTTCCTTGGTGATCTTGTGGTCCACTGGGAGCCCCAGCTCGCTGTCACTGAGCAGCATCTCGAGGGAGTGTCTACTGCACATGGCTCACCGGGGAAGATCACGAGTAGGGTCTCCACTGACGTCATATCCTGTCCACACCATCCTAGTCAAAAATCCTAAGTAGAATCACTGTACATTGGCTTCCCTCTGTAGGTACTAGAAAAGGCTACGGAGGGTTGAACCCAGGGGCCCTCCACCCCTGAGCCCCGTCCCCAGCCCTTTTTCTATTTTATTTAGAGACAGGGTCTCGCTGAGTCACTTAGAGCCTCACTACGTTGGTGAGGCTGGCCTCCACCTTGCGATCCTCCTGCCTCAGCCTCCAAGTTGCTGGGATGACAGGGCTGCGCACTGCGCCGGGCACCTCCTCAAGTTTTTAACCTGAGTCTCCCACCTCCACCCAGAGCAGCCTAAAGTCCTCACGGGTTCAAGCTGAGACAGTGACTAAAGAGAGGCAGATCATCGGGAGGGAAGGTGGAGGCTGATTCAAAGAAAAGGAAACACACTATTTACCCTCCAGAGCTGTCCCCAAGGTCCCCCGCTCTGGGGAGTCCCTCCTCCAACACAGCAGGGGCTCTTCCTGCCAGGGGCAGGTGTGGAGGGGCAGAGGCACCCCTGGCTGGCTGGGTCCCTGCCTTCTGGTCCAGCAGGCAACACGGGAAGACGAGGGGGTTTGGGAGAAAAGAAACCTGGAATCCACTGAGGCCACAGCTCCCTGTTCTGCTCCATCCCCTCAATAAAACCTGCTTCCTGTCCTGGCCTGGGTCCTGAGGAGTTTAGTCTCCAACCCCAGGGGACAGGGACCCGTCCCAATTCCTAACACCAGCACCAAAGCCCCCCAGGACGGGGCAGATGGCCCACAGCAGCCAGCGCAGGGGGCAAGAAGGGATCAAAGCCCTGCAGTCTGTCACTGTGCCTGGGACCCAGGACGCCCAAGGCACAGCCACCACCCAGCAATCCCCACCTGCCCAGGACGCATGTCCCCGGCACCTGCAGGCCCACAGAGCATTTCTAGAAGAAAACACATGAGAATCAAGGCAGGGGACCAGGATCAGCAGCCAGACGCAGACTCCTCTTACGTACGCACCCTTTGGGGCCAGATGCTTATATTATCATTTTTTCCAAAAGAAAAACACATTTTAGAGTTCTGTCCCCCGATTCAAGTGTCCTTACATGGGCTTGAAAAATAATCTACCAACACAAAAGAGTGGGCTGGGCTTGGTGGTCCGGGCCTCTCATCCCAGCAGCTTGGGAGGCTGAGGCAGGAGGATCACACAAGTTAGAGGCCAGCCTCAAAAACTCAGCAAGGCCCTGAGCAACTCAATGAGAAACTGTCTCTAAATAAAATAGATAAAAGGGCTGGGGACGGGGCTCAGACGTCCCAGGTGTGGCTGGAGCTCATCCCCCGGGGAACAAAGCCCACACGCCAAGGACCTCTGTTCTAGAATATTCGGTCAGTGAACACTGGCTCCCACACAGAGGCTCACCATCCAGAGGCTGGTGGGGACTGCTGGCCCAGTGGGCACTGGAGACGGGTCTGCTCTGGTTTTGTTGGTTTGCTTGACTTTGGGGCAGGGCTGGGGACAGGACCCGGTGTCCCTCTGTACCACTGAGCTCCACCCCCGGCCCTATTTTTATTTATTCATTTTGACTTGGGAGGATCTCACCCAATTGCTCACCTTGCAATCCTCCTGCCTCAGCCTCCCTGGTCTCTGGGAGGCCAGGGGTTCAGCCTCAGACCTGACCCTAGGTGACCTTTACAGAGAACGGGGCCCTTTCTATGTGAGGGTATGGGACACTCTCCAGGGACCAGGAAGCCAAGCGACCAAAGGACAGGTGAGGGGTGACTTGAACAGTTCTCTTTCTTGGCTCTGGGGACCCAACCTGGGGGATGTCAACCCCTTCTATGTCTGTCTGTCTCTGTTATCTGGGGACAGGGCCTTGCTCAGTGGTGGAGGCCGGCCTCCACTCTCCATCCTCCTGCCTTGGCCTCCCGCCATCGGGCTACTACTGTTCAACGCAGACGCTCCCCGCAGGTTGGAGCGCAGCGGAACCCGGAGGCGCTGGGTCCCGGCACCCGGGGGGGCGGGTCTGGGGCGGCGCACCGCAGCGTCGGGCCGACAGCGCCCCCTGCCGGCGCCCCTCCCCTTCCGCCCGCGCTCACCGCCGATGATGGTCCGGATCAGGGAGGCGTGGCCCGGGCAGTCGACCAGCGTCACCTGCAGCTCGGGCGCGCCGGCCTCGGGCAGCGGCACCGCGAAGCACGAGAAGCCCAGGTCGAGCGTGATGCCGCGCTCGCGGCTCTGCGGCTGCCGGTCGAAGGCGGCGGTGGAGGCCGTGGTGCTGAGCGCGCGCGCCAGCGCCGTCTTGCCGCTGTCGATGTGGCCCAGCACGCCCACGTTCACGTTCCGCCGCGCCGCCATTGCCGGTCCGCCGCCGGACGGCCCCCCCACGCGCCCCGAGCCGCGTGCGCGCGCGTTCCGCCCCCCCCCCCCAGCTTCCGCCCGGCGCACCTCGTGGGGCGGGGCCGCTCGCCGCCCCCAGCCACTGCCCAGACCGGAAGGGGATCCCGCGGGCCCCGCCGCGTGCTCCTAGTTGGCGCCTACTGGGTTCCACCTGTAGCGCGCGGGGACAAACTACACCAAGGGACCCAGGAGGGGACCCTGCCGCGTCGGAGAGCGACGGGCCCCTGGAGAAAATGACAGCACAGAGAAATAGCGGGGCCCCGGGGCGCACTCCTGTCATCCCTGCAGCAAGGGAGGCTGAGGCAGGAGGATCCCAAGTTGGAGGCCAGCCTCAGCCACTTAGCGAGGCCCTGAACAACTCAGCGAGACCCTGTCTCTAAATAAAATATAGAAAGGGCTGGGGACGGGGCTCAGGGGTGGAGCATCCCTGGGTTCAATCCCTGGGACCAAAAAAAAAAAAAAAAAAGTGACAAAGAATGTGGGCAAGGATTGGGGGAAAGGGGACCCTCATCCATGTCTGGTGGGACAGCAAATGGGTGCGTCCACTGTGGAAAGCAGGACGGAGATTCCTCAGAAAACTTGGAATGGAACCACCATGGGACCCAGCTGTCCCACTCCTCAGTTGACACTCAGAGAACTTAAAATCAGCACACGACAGGGACACAGCCACGTCAATATTTATAGCAGTTCAACTGACAGTACCTAAGCTTAGAGAACCAACGAAGGTGCCCTTCGACAGATGAGTGAAAGAAGAAAACAGCATACACACACACACAGTGGAATATTACTCAGCCATGAAAAATAATGGCTTTAAGGGCTGGGGATATAGTTCAGTTGGTAAGGTGCTTGCCTCGCATGCACAAAGTCCTGGGTTTGGTCCCCAGCACCAATAATAATAATAATAATAATAATAACAACAACAATGGATGGAACTGGAGACTATCATGCTAAGTGAAATAAGCCAATTTCCCCCAAAAAACAAAGGCTAAATGTCCTCTGTGATATGCAGATGCTGATCCACAATAAGGGGGGGACAGCAGTTCACTGGATGAGATGCAGGGGAGTGAAGGGAAGGGAGGGGAGGGGACTGGGAGAGACAGGGGAGTGAATGGACGTCACTTTCCCATGTTCACACAGGAACCCACGACCAGGGACACCCCACAGCAGGTCCAGCCACAGGAGTGGGATCCCAGTTAGAACAAGTCACACCCCTTGTAGGTATAATGTGTCCAAATTCACGCTGAGCCGCACCCCCAGGTTCTCAGGGAGGGTGAGCGGTGTCCTGGGGACGTGGGATCAAGAGGCTTCTGGGGGCGGTGACAGCTGATCTACATCAGGGCTGGGGATGAGGCTCAGAGGTGGAGCCCTTGCCTGGCGTCTGTGAAGCTCTGGAGTCACTCCACAGTGAGCTGGCACCCAGCAGAGGGCCACCTGATCTAGGCAGGAAGAAGGGCCCGGCAAAGAGCTGGAGGCTTGACTTGGGACAGGGTCACTGAACATGGCAGAGCAGAAAGGGACAGGAGGAGGGCTAAGAATGAAATCAATTTTTTGTTTTCTTTTAGTACCAGGGATGGAACCCAGGGGTGCTTCACCCCTGAGCCCCGTCCCCAGCCCTTTTTTCTATTTTATTTAGAGACAGGGTCTCGCTGAGTGGCTCAGGGCCTCGCTGAGTGGCTGAGGCTGGCCTCCACCTTGCGATCCTCCTGCCTCAGCCTCCCGAGCTGCTGGGATGACAGGCGCGGGCCACTGCGCCTGGACACCTGTAAATGTACCATGACCCCAACTTGAATGGGACTCACCCCCAAAGCACTAGCCTAAATGGACATCTTCCTCCACAGCAGACTCCCCAGGTCCCATACAGTCCCATGGCCGGGCACAGTCCCTGGGGACATGGCTGCCTGCAGAACTGTGATTATTTGGAATGTGTCCCTAATGGTAATGGGATGCCGGCTTATTTCTGTGTCTTCAATGCCATTTTTGAAACAAAGGTGGTTCAAAGTTCTTTACAAACAGCCCCCGTAATGAATGCAACTTCATCAAGGCCCATTAATCCAGGATTAATTATAAATTGGCCCAGAGGAAGTTATTAGACTTTCCTCTTTGATTTGAATTCGGGCTTTAAAGATGCTTTCAGGAGCGAAATGGAAATTTCTCTTTTCTCGGAGGGGACCTACCTTGCCGAGCGATTGCAAATTAACCCTGTGTGTTCCTCAGTGGGTCCTACATCCACCAGCCTCAGAGGACACTGTCCCCCAGGCCTCCACCTGAGCTCCCTGTCGTTCCCAGAACCGAACAGATCCGCTCAGGCCACACTGAATCCGAGGTGGGGGAAGTCTGACGCAGTGGCAGCAGCTCACTCCAGCCGGGCACAGAGGTATCCAGTCGCCTGGCATCCAGGTTGGCTCCGGAGGCTGAGGCAGGAGGATGGCGGGCGAGTGTGAGGCTGGCCTCCACAACTTAGTGAGACAGTGACTCAAAATAAAAACACCAAAGAGAGCGAGGGATAGAGCACCATGGTAGAGCATCCCCTGGGCTCCATCCCTAGTACCGCAATAAATGAGAAAAACTGCTGCTGAATTTGGTTTACAAATATCAGATTTTTGGGGGAGGAATTTTGCATCTATGTTCACGGGGGATATTGACTTCGGTTTTTTCTTTTCTTTTTTTTCATTCCTTGTAGAATCTTTACCTGATGCTGTCATCAAGATAATGCTGGCTTCATAGAACATATTAGAAAACATTTCTTTCTCTTTATTTTTTAATTTTTTATTTTTTTGGTAAGAGTTTGAGATGCATTTGGTTTTATTTTTTATTTTTTGGCACTAGGGATTGAACCCAGGGGTGCTTACCCACTGAGCCCCATCCCCAGCCCTTTTTATATTTTATTTAGAGACAGGGTCTCACTGAGTTGCTCAGGGCCTCACTAAATTGCCGAGGCTGGCCTCCAACTGGAGATCCTCCTGCCTCAGCCTCCCGAGACCCTGGGATGACAGGCGGGCACCACTGAGCCCAAGTGAGAAAAATAGATGACTTCTGTTTTTCTTTATCCACTATTGTCTTGAGTCTCTCCGTTGATGCAGCTGTACTAATATTCTAACTGATACAACATTAGATCATCCCATGCCCAGCTGTGAGTGTTCAGCTGAGGTCGGAGGCCATGAGGACACAAGGGCTCCCGGGGAACCCTGGGTGACTTTCTCCTCCTCAGCAGCAGTACAGAAGGCAAGGTTGGCTTGATTCCAGGCTTGGGGGTTCAAAGGTCAGATGGGACAGAGGTCAAGGCAGGCAGGGAGCAAAAGAGTGGGGAACCAAATGACTGAGGGCATCCGTCTTGGGCTGGAGAGAGGAGAGGTTGAAGGACTTCAGGTGAAATATGACGGGAGTGAGAAACTGAGACACGGCAGAAATGGGATTGTCCAGTGCACGCACAGTTCCGGAATGTACTTCTCCATATGATAATGGGTCTGGCTTTTTATTACCTATTAGTGGATAAAAACATAATTCAAGCCCTGCACGGTGACATATGCCTGTCATCCCGGTGGCTTTGGAGGCTGAGGCAGGAGGATCGCAAGGTGGAGGCCAGCCTCAGTAACTTAGTGAGGCCTTGAGCAACTCAGCGAGACCCTGTCTCTAAATAAAATATAAAATAGGGCTGGGGACGGGGCTCAGGGGTGAAGTGTCCCTGGGTTCAATCCATAGTATAAAAATAAAGAGCATGGATTCAACAGTGTGTGTGTGTGGGTGGGTGTTTTCTAGAACCTTCTTTGAATTCATAACAAGTCTTATCTAGAAGCTGGTTTGTAGACTGTGTACCAGGTTCCAAAATTAAAATTAAAATGGTAAATATGTGTTCTCCACCTTCATCATGTAAAGCAGTCGAGGGAAAGAGGCAACCATCAGCTCAATAATTATGTCAATAATCAGAGTAAAATAATTAGATTTAAAAGTCAGACTAGAGAGGACAAAGAAATCATAGGGGAATCAGAAACACCCGCAGCTGGACTGGATCTCAGGCGTGTCTTAGCCTTCATGTAAGCTCGCTTATCTCTGGCACACACCTCTAATACCAGCGGCTTTGGAGGCTGAGGCAGGAGGATCGCAAGTTGGAGGCCAGCCTCAGCCACTTGGCAAGGCCCTAAGCAACTCAGTGAGACCCTGTCTCTAAATAAAATACAAAAATGGGCTGGGGATGGGGCTCAGTGCTTTAGAGCCCTCGGTTTCAATCCCGGGTACCAAACACCCCCCAAAATGCTACTCGGGGCCACCCACCACCTGGGCTCAGCTCCTGAGCCAGGGAGCAAAACCCAGGACTCCGTCCTTCTGCGCTCACACCCCCCTCAGAGTGAGCCGGAAGCACCTGTTGCCGGGGCAGCCAACGCAGTGACACAGCCGGAAGTGTGTGGGCGGAGCTCTACCGGCAGCTGGCGATGAGCGCATGCCTGAGCCAATGGAGAGCGGCGGCGCTCCGATATCCTCCAATGGGGCGCCGACGGAGGCGGGCTCTTGCCAGCCGCCCTAGTAACGGCCGCATGGTAACCCCCGGGGCCGCCGGGGGCGCGGGGTAGCGGCGGCTCTTGGCTCGGCGGCGGCTTGGGCTCCCGGGCGGCACCATGAAGATCGAGGAGGTGAAGAGCACCACGAAGACGCAGCGCATCGCCTCGCACAGCCACGTGAAGGGGCTGGGGCTCGACGAGAGCGGCCTGGCCAAGCAGGCGGCCTCGGGGCTCGTGGGCCAGGAGAACGCGCGGGAGGTGCGGGCCCGGGGCGCGGGCTGCGGGGACCCGCGGGGGGACCGTCCCGGGGGTTCGTCGCCGACTCCGCGATCGACAGTGTCACCTTGGTGCCCGGGGTTGCCCGCGGAGCCACATCGCGGCCCTTTTTTTTCTTTATTCCGAGACAGGGTCTGGCTGAGCTGTTGAGGCTGGCCTCCACTTGCAGTCCTCCTGCCTCAGCCTCCAGGTGCCCTGGGGTGACAGGCCTGCGCCACCGCGCCCCGACCAAGCATCCTTTAAGTGGCCACTGCACCAAGTCCCTGGAATCCCGTTATTTATTTATTTTTATTATTATTATTATTTTTTTTTTGCAGAAGAAAAAGTTGAGAAGGGAGAGGTCACCCCGCCCATCCATTGGCCACCCAGTTTAGTAATGATGGCGGGGGGGTTTGCACTCCACCGCCTCTAAGTTGCTGGACCCTAGAGTCATGGCCCGTGGTCTCCCTGGAGGCTGAGCAGCTACACAAACCTGCAATTTATATGAGGTTGTGACTGTAGCCTTGGAGCCTCCTATTAACAGAAAGGGTCTCTGTCTCTTTTTTGGGGGTGTGGGGGGGTGCCAGGGATTAAACTCGGGGGGCCCTGAGCCCGTCCCCAGCCCTATTTTGTATTTTATTTAGAGACAGGGTCTCGCTGAGTTGCTTAGGGCCTCGCTAAGTGGCTGAGGCTGGCCTCCAACTGGCGATCCTCCTGCCTCAGCCTCCCGAGCCGCTGGGATCACAGGTGTGGGCCACTCTGCCCGGCAGACTTTTCTCTCTTGCCTCCACTATTGGGGCATCCAGTGCCTGGAGGGTGCTGGCGCCCGGGGTTGGTTGGACGAGTCTGTGAATCGTGTGGATCAGAGACAGCATTTCCCCCCCCCACTGACACACAGTAATAGTGAGCATTTCTCCCCTCTGTGCTGCAGGCATGTGGCGTCATAGTCGAGTTAATCAAAAGCAAGAAGATGGCGGGAAGAGCCGTGCTGTTGGCGGGACCTCCGGGAACTGGCAAGGTACCCGTGTTCTCTCATTTATTTCTGCTGCCCAAGAGGACGATCCTCACGTCGAAGCCCAAATGGAATTCACGTCTGAACTAGTCTTTGTTTAGCGACATGGGTCATACGTGTGTTTAAAGAAGGAGTCTGATCTCAAACTCAGGCTTCTAGAATTAAAATCATCCTGGCCAGAGGGAGAGGAAAGCCCTCAGAGGGGTCTGGTCGCTGGGATTGTCCTTTAACTCTTTCAAGTGTCTTTGCTTTGGAAATGCATCTCTCTTTCTTTTCTTTCTTTTTCTTTTTGTACCAGTGATTGAACTTGGGGACACTCAGCCACTAAGCCACATCCCTTTTTTTTTTTTGTATTTTATTTAGAGACAGGGTCTCGTTAAAGTTGCTAAGGGCCTTGCTAAGTTGCTGAGGCTGGCCTCCACCTTGCGATCCTCCTGCCTCAGCCTCCTGAGTGGCTGTGATCATAGGCGTGCACCAGTGTGCCCACCTGGAAATGCATTTCTGTTGGTCCAGGGCCTTGTAAAAATCTGTGACAGGCTGTGGCTGTGACTCCGTGGTAGAGCACTTGCCTCGAATGTGTGAGGCACTGGGTTTGATCCTCAGCACCACATAAAGAATTAAAATAAAGATATTGTGTCCATCTACAATTAAAAAACTATTTAAAAATCTTCTGTGGCATCTTATTTGAGGGGGAGAAATGAGTCAGCCTGCATTTTTCCTAAGGCTAACTTTGCACACCACTATTTTGGCTACGCGTGTGATTGAAAAATATTAGAAACGTGGTTTTGCTCTTAAAAGAGGCTTCTAGTCTTTTCTGGGTAGAGAAACAGGAAGTCTCCTGATGGCACAAAATGACTCAGTTGAGGTCTGAGCTTCTAACTGCTGACTGATTTTAAACGCTGGAATTGGGCAGAGCGTTTGATGATTCCCCTTCGGAGTCGGGATTTGCAGGGCAAAGGAGCCTTCTAGGGAGGACCCGCAGGGTAGATTGTTGGGATCTGCAAGGGGGTGGCCAGATCCTCAGGCTTCCCAGAGCTCCTGGTCTGGGCATGGCTTGTTCTCTGGAAGGGCCTCTTGGCCCAGGAGAATCGAGGCCTGTGCTCTTCCATGTAAAGAAGTGGCTCTTACCAGGGGCGGTGGCCCACGCCTGTCATCTCAGTGACTCTGGAGGCTGAGGCAGGAGGATCCCATGGTGGAGGCCAGCCTCAGCAGTTTCGCCAGGCTCTAAGCAACTTAATGTGATCCTGTTCAAAAATAAAAAATATAATGTCTGGGCTGCGGCTTGGTGGGTATTGACTCATCAGCTGGGAGACCTGGGGCAGGCTCCTGACCTTTCAGAAGCAGAAATATAATCGGTTGTGAAATAAAAGCTTGAATTCTGATTCTGAAGTTGTGCATATGGAGTTGCCAGGGTGGGTTGTGTGGTGTCTGATGGTGGGTGAGGAAGTCCTGTGTCGGGGGGAAGTTTTTTGAGGCTGGAATGCCGTACGCTGTGCACTTACAGGAATATTAACTTGTCCAAGTCGTCTTCATTTTTTGGGGGGGGGGTTACCAAGAATTGAACCCCAAGAATTGAACCCAGGAGCTCTCGACCCCTGAGCCCCGTCCCCAGCCCTGTTTTCTATTTTATTCAGAGACAGGGTCTTGCTGAGTTGCTCAGGGCCTTGCTAAGTGGCTGAGGCTGGCCTCTACCTCACGATCCTCCAGCCTCAGCCTCCAGACCTGCTGGGATGACAGGGGTGCACCCCACACCCAGCTCTCAGCTTCTTAACCCATAAAATACAAGTTAGACTTCCAAGATGACAGACTATGGGAAGATCAGTGAGACCTATATAGTTCCATAGGAAAGGGTGGGTCTATGTGCCTTTCTTCTGTGACTGTTTTTGATATTTTTATATGTATATAATATTTCTTAGTTGTAGTTGGACACAAACCCTTTGTTTTATTTATTTATTACTTTGCGGTGCTGAGGATCAAACCTGGGGCCCTGCACATGCCAGGCAAGTGCTTGACCACTGAACCCCAGCCCGGCCCCTTCCATGAGCTTTTAATTGGAGAAAGCTAGACGGACACGAAGCCATTCCTAACCCAGTATTTATCCTATTTAGATGGAAATGTAATGGTCACCCCTTCTCTATTAGGTGGAGGGAGTTGGGGATGCTGTTCAGTGGGACGTGGTCACCGTTTTTTGACACTGGAAACTGATAATGGGGAGTTGGGGGCTGTGAAAGAACAGGGAAGAGACATCCTGGGTAGAAGGTGGGCATGAAAACCAGGCTCCGTGGCTCACACCTGTAAACCAGCAACCCGGGAGGCTGAGGCAGGAGGATCGCAAGGTGGAGGCCAGCCTCAGCCATTCAGCAAGGCCCTAAGTAACTCAGTGAGACCCTGTCTCTAAATAAATGCAAAATGGGGCTGGGGACGGGAGGGAGGAAGGAATGGCACTCAGAGGCCTGGCATTTCCCAGTCCTGGGCCCACTAGAGAACATTTGCTTCCCACAACTTGGCATTTGACGAGACGCCTGTGACATCTGGTTCTCTTTAGCATCTGCCAACCAGAGTTAGGTCACCGAGCATCAATTTGTAGTTGACCACAGGGCACGGTCAGGGGGCCTTGTGCTGACCAACCCACGGCTTCCAGATTTGGCCTCACGAATCATCCACTATTCGCCGCCCTTTTAACATGAATTGAAGGTCATGGAATAAATCCTTCCTGATTGATTAATATTATTTTTTTTGGTCCCAGGGATTGAACCCAGGGCTGCTTAACCCCTGAGCCCTGTCCCCAGCCTTTTTCTATTTTATTTAGAGACAGGGTCTCCCTGAGTTGCTCAGGGCCTTGCTAAGTGGCTGAGGCTGGCCTCCACCTTGCGATCCTCCTGCCTCAGCCTCCTGAATCTCGGGGATCATAGGTGTGCGACACCATGTTCAGCCTCTTGAATAAATTTTTTATAGATGGGTTTGGATTATGTTTTCAGGACTGTAAAATGAAAACCTTTCCTTTCTCACCTCTGTAGACAGCCCTGGCCCTGGCGATAGCTCAGGAGCTGGGGAGTAAGGTGCCTTTCTGCCCCATGGTGGGGAGCGAAGTCTACTCCACGGAGATCAAGAAGACAGAGGTGCTGATGGAGAACTTCCGCAGGGCCATCGGTGAGTGTCACATCGGAGTGAGACATGGCTGTTGCTTCTCCGGTGCTTTGAATCCTTTCGTCTTGAAAATGCTTCTGTGACGAGTTGATTGTACTGCTGTGTTCTTTTGGTGACATTGACAAGACAGACGAGAGCAGCCAGGTGTCCCAGCAGCTCGGGAGGCTGAGGCAGGAGGTTCGCAAGGTGGAGGCCAGCCTCAGCCACTTAGCCAGGCCGAGCAACTCAGGGAGACCCTGTCTCTATATAAAATAGAAAAGGGGCTGGGGACGGGGCTCACAGGGTTGAGGGCCCCTGGGTTCGATCCCTGGTACCAAAAAGAACCAAAAAAATGTGACCAATAAGATATCACAATCTTTCAAATACCTGAATATTAATATTTTTTAAAACTTAAATTAAAAAAAAAATACATTTTGGGGGCTGGGGCAGGGGCTCAGTGGTAGAGCACCCACCTAGCATGTGCAGGGTCCTGCGTCTGCTCCTCAGCACCACATAATAGTAAATAAATAAAACAAAGGTGCTGTGTCCATCTACGACTAAATAAAAATTATAATCAAGATCATTTCTGTGAGACAAAAACCTGGTAAAACTGGTCTCCACACAGTTGCTTGTGTTTGAATTAAAAGGCTTTAAAATTTGAAGAAAGTAGAGGTCACCAGGCACCGTGGTTGGGAGTGGCCCCTGGGGTGGGGTGCGGTGGGGGACACAGCCGGGGCTTTTGATGGCAGCAGGTGACGAGAAACTTCTAGATCCTGCCACAGAATGAAAGGGCAGGCTGTGGACGCCCCTCAGACAGGAGCCTGCTGTCCCCGCACCTTTGAATTCCTGCGAGGCTGCAGGGGTGGGGGGGGCGGTCATCTGTCCCCGTCTGGGCCGCTTCCTTGACGTGATGAAGGTCCCTGTCAGGGACTTGGAAACCCGAGCCAGCAGATGAAACCCGTGTCATTTGTGCTGTCGTGGCCAGAGATAGCGCCCGCGGCCCCTCTCCTGGCCAACAGCCGGCCCATTGTCCGCCGGGCCTTCCCCTGTCCACTTGTCACCACCGAGAAACTTCTAAACAAATAGGAGCAGCAGAGAGACGGAGGGCCCCCTTCCCCGCCCGGAGGAATTCCATGTCACTGTCCCCTGACAGTGAGGAGGGGCCGGCATTCCATTTGGAGGAATTCTCTCTCTGCAGAATAGAAGAGGTTCTGTTAGAAAAATCAAAGTAGGCTTCAAAGCCCAGAATTTTCCAAGCTTGACAAGAGTTTTCCGATCACCTTCGTGTTGGTTGAGAAATTTATTTATTTTTTTTTGTACCAAGGATTGAACCCAGGGGCCCTCGACCCCTGAGCCCCGTCCCCAGCCCTATTTTGCATTTTATTTAGAGTCAGGGTCTCCCTGAGCTGCTGAGGGCCTTGCTAAGTGGCTGAGGCTGGCCTCCACCTGGCGATCCTCCTGCCTGGGCCTCCCGGGCTGCTGGGATGGCAGGCGTGGGCCACTGCTCCCCGTAGTGTAGCTCTGTACCCAGGATGGTGTCTCCTTTGAGGTACCAAGGTTGTTGGTGGGGAGGGGATGGATGTGGAGAGAAGGATGGTCCCACTTCTCACCGTGTCCCCATCGGCCGTGCCTCCCAGGGCTGCGGATAAAGGAGACCAAGGAGGTGTACGAGGGGGAGGTGACCGAGCTGACGCCGTGTGAGACCGAGAACCCCATGGGCGGCTACGGCAAGACCATCAGCCACGTGATCATAGGGCTCAAGACAGCCAAGGGCACCAAGCAGCTCAAGGTGGGTCCCTCCTGAGCCCTGTCCTCCGCACTGTGGCACCGGGCAGGTGACGTGACCTCTGTGTCCCCCTTTCCTTGGCCTCTGCACTGTTGATGCCACATGGGACACTCGGCTTAACACCGTGTGGTATAAAGGGACACTCGGTAGAGGGCTTGCACGTAGGTCTCTTCCTTTTCTCATTGTTCCTGGGAGTCGTGGGGTGAAGTCAAGAAATTGCTTCTGCCATCTCGTCCCCCACATGGTGACCATTGGCCAGCCGGGCACAGTGGCCCACGCCTGTCACCCCAGCGGCTCCGGAGGCTGAGGCAGGAGGATCGCAAGTTGGAGGCCAGCCTCAGCCACTGAGCAAGGCCCTCAGCAACTTAGCGAGACGCTGTCTCTAAATAAATGCAAAATGGGGCTGGGGACGGGCTCAGGGCTAAGTCACCCCTGGGCTCAATCCCCAGGACTGCCCCCTACCTCCTCCCAAAAGTCAAAGTGTGCATGATTGTGTTTTCTTTTCTCTTTTTCATGTTTGTATTCGTGCACTGCTGTCATTAGTGAGTCACGCTAGCTCTGTACCTGTCCCCTGCTGTGTGGCCAGGTCCCCTGCCGCAGGCCTGGGGAGGTACTTCACCTGTGGCTCCTCACAGCTGTGTGCCACTGGGGTGCGCATGCGCCGGGGATCTAATTCCCCGTTTGCAAGATCGAGGCCTCAGGCCCATAAAGAGGCTCAACAGTCGTCCTGCGTCACACGCTGGCTGAGGGGCAGGGTGACCGTGAGTCCCCTGGCGCTGTGTGACTCCTGGTTGTCACCTGAGCTCTCTGGGACTCGGTTCCTCATCTCTAGACCTCACTCCATCCAGCCTAGAATTTCTCCTCTTTTCTCTGTTTTATGATTTCCTGGTTGTTTGATTCTCTGAGGTTGTCTCTTGGCCACTGCTTTATGGAGATCATAAAAATGTCACTTCTTCCAAGGGCCATTCTTCTTTTTCCTAACGGGGCCTCCATGTCGGGAGCTGGGCTCTGCCAACCTCTCTCTGTCTCTTTAATACGTCGCCTCATCACGTCCGTCCTGTGGCAATGAGGTTCTGAGGAGGTGGCCCCTTCTCAGGAACGACATCTCGAGCCCGTTCATCTGGAAAATCAGCCGTAGGAAGCGCCTGAGACGGAAAGAGAAAAATTGTCCTCCACACAGGACAGAGGACGCAGGAACACAGTGGGAATTTTAGTCATCCATCGGTCTGCTTCCGACAGCTCCTCCAAGAAAAGAGCAGAACGGAGAAGAGGAACAATTTCTTCCCAAATAAATATCTCTGAGCCGAGGGCGGTGGCCCGCACCTGTGATCCCAGCAGCTCCGGAGGCTGAGGCAGGAGGATCGCGAGTTGGAGGCCAGCCTCAGCCACAGCGAGGCCCTGAGCAACTCAGCGAGACCCTGTCTCTAAATAAAAGACCAAATAGGGCTGGGGACGGGGCTCAGGGGTTAAGAGCCCCTGAGCTCAATCCCTGGTGCCCTCCACATGTTTTCCCACGTGTGACATGTTGGGACAGAAGGACCTCAGGGACGTTGTGAAGTTTTCAAGTGTCTGAGTTGGAAGGAGGCTAACGAATCTTGGCCTGGGGACTCCCCAGCCCTGGTCCTGTGTGTGTGGCCCACGGGACTTTTATGTGTGACCCAGTTCACACCCCCCCATCTTAATTCTAGCACATGAGGGACCTCATTCCCATGAATGGCCACCTGCTGACCTCCCCCTGGCCTTCGGCCACCACGTACTGACTTTGTTTCTGGATTGGCCTTTTGGGGGTCCCCTCCCGCCGAGGGAGCCCTGCAGTGGGTGTTGACTCTGGACTCTCTCTGGGACAGAGCTCAGGTGTGTGTCCCCAGGTGGCCCTCTGTAGCAGCTGCCCAGTGCACACCTCATGGGGAAGAGCAAGGCCCCGTAGACACCGTCACCCCGGGATGTGTGCACAGCCCTGGGAACTGGAGGCCGCGGGGATCTGCTTTTCTGTGGTCCTGGGACTCGAACCCAGGGCCCTGGCCGTGGTGAACCAGCGCCCTGCCACTGAGCTGCCCCCAGCCCCAGGGCCTAGCTGCGTGGTCTCGACTGGCCTCCACCTTCGTGATCCTCCTTCCTCAGCCTCCGACCGAGACAGTGTGGGGGGATTCCAGCTTATGTTGCCCTTCAGAGCTGGACTCCTCTGTGGGTGCTTCTGGGCGCTGTCACCTAGAGGAGGAGCCCGAGGCCCAGAGAGCCGGGGTCACGGGCCACGTCAAATGCAGCCTCGGATGGCTAGGCAGGAAGCTCTGGGGACCCCAGCCCGAGGACTGGCGCTGCGGTGGCGATCCTGAGGGGTGCCGTGGGGCGGGGCCACGGACAGGTCCCCTCTGAGGACAGCCGGGTCCCTGCGAGAATGCTCCTCCCACTTTGCAACCCCTGAAGTCAAGGCCAAGAGGAGTAGTGGTGACCGTCTCTTGTCCCCTGCAGGCAGACACGGTCACCCTCAGGTTCCCCTCCTGGTGGGCTAAACCCCCAGTCCAGGCTGTTGTGCCCTGTCACATGCCCTCACACCCACCCGCTCCCAGGGTCGCTGGCTGCCTGGGGTGTCTGTCTGTCTGTCTGTCTGTCTGCGTGTGTCTCTCTCTCTCTGTTTAGTCCTGTGAATTGAACTCAGGAGGGCCTAAGCCGAGAGCCCGGTGCCTGCCTTTTTTATTTTGCTTTGTGTTGTTTTGAAAGAACTCTCCCCTCGCTGAGTGGCTGAGGCTGGCCTCCACCTTGCGATCCTCCTGCCTCAGCCTCCTGAGTCCCTGGGATGACAGGTGGGCACTGCTGCGCCCGGCCCCTCAGGTCTCTTCGGGCAAGGTGCCTTCCCTCGGGGTCAGAAGGAACGGGAACATGCATCACGTCCTCTGAGTCCCCCTTTGTCTGGTTGGCTTTGGTTTTAGCTGGACCCCAGCATTTTTGAAAGTCTCCAGAAGGAGCGAGTGGAGGCCGGGGACGTCATCTACATCGAGGCCAACAGCGGGGCCGTGAAGGTACGTCTGCTCCCCGGGGACAGCGCCGCGCCTGAGGGTCTGCCAGGGGGACCTGGGGGACCAGGGCGTCACTTTCCTCAGTGTGCATGGGGGGGGGGCAGCAGCTGTCCCTTGACCTAAGTCAACTTGGCTTCTCTGCTTCCTGTCCTCGTGACCTCAGCAGGCAGAGTGTTAAGACCCAGACCCTTGGGGGACAGGGACCAGACAGCCTTCGTCCCTTCCCGCTGCACCAGGTGGTGTCTTCCATCTTCCTTTATCTCCCTGGTGACCCTCCCTGAGTCCTGAGCCTGGGGACCACGCCAGGCGGCTCCTCCTCTATCTGATGCTGTGTCCCGCGGTGGCCGCGCCTCCGGTAATGGATGAGCCTCAGGCCTCGTGTCACCCATAAATCACCACCGAGAGGAGCCCGCCCCGCCCCAGTGAGTCCCCTGGAGGCTCCTTTATCAGGAGCAAAAAGAAAGGGCAGAGAATGTTCTAGAAAGTCTCAGGTGTCGTCTGGGCGCGTCTGGGAGCCCAGCGAGGCGCAGGCGGAGGGCACCTCGGGGGCGTCAGTGGGCAGGGGGACCTGAGCCCCGTGTGCTGAGGGTGCCCGGGGCTCTGTTGGCAGAGGCAGGGCCGCTGCGACACCTACGCCACCGAGTTCGACCTGGAGGCCGAGGAGTACGTGCCCCTGCCCAAGGGCGACGTGCACAAGAAGAAGGAGATCATCCAGGACGTGACGCTGCACGACCTGGACGTGGCCAACGCCAGGCCCCAGGTACAGGCCCCGGGAACAAGGGCCTCCCTCCTGGAGGCCGCCGCGGCTGTTCCCTGTGGGAGGTTGAGCAGTGAGCACGACAGCAGCTTCGCCACTTTGTCCTGATGCCCAGGCGCTGTCACAGCCCTGTCCCCAGACCTTTTTCTATTTTATTTAGAGACAGGGTCTCGCTGAGTCACTCAGGGCCTTGCTCAGTGGCTGAGGCTGGCCTCCACCTTGCGATCCTCCTGCCTCAGCCTCCCGAATTGCCAGGATTTTTACAGACACGTGCCACTGCGCACGGCTCTGCTTGGTTCTTGCAGGTCAGGGGAGACCTCTAGGATCCCTCTGTGCTTAGGAGCCCCTCATCCTTCCCAGGGGAGCTGTGCTGGGCCTGTCCACCTCAGGGTTCCAAGTGGAGTGACATCGGGGACCCACAGGACACAGGAGGATGGGCTTTGGTAGCTGCCTTAGATAGTCCTCTCTCCTGCAGGGGGGACAAGACATCCTGTCCATGATGGGCCAGTTGATGAAGCCAAAGAAGACAGAGATCACAGGTAGGACACGTGGCAAGGCCTCCCCAGCCCTGTTTCCATTTTATTTAGAGACAGGGTCTCGCTGAATTGCTTAGGGCCTCACTAAGTGGCTGAGGCTGGCCTCCACCTTGCGATCCTCCTGCCTCAGCCTCCCCAGCTGCTGGGATGAGAGGCCTGGGCTACAGTACCTGCCCGTCTCTTCCCCAATTTTATGTCCTTCTCGGGCCCATGACCTCTTTACTCCCTGAAAACATAAGTTAAACATGAATCCACTGTCGCCTTGAGGCCTCGCAGCCGCCTGAGCTCCTTAGCGAGTGGCCAAGAGCAGATTCCGTCTCTAACTCGGTTTTGACAGCCCGCGTGATGGCTCCGGGCGAGGACAGGCCTCAGATCCTGGTTCTTTGTGAGCAGCTCCATCCCAGTGACAGCGGGCGCTGGTCTGGAAGATGAGGGCTGTGAGCTGAGGCGGGCCCGCCGTTCCGCAGGGGCTGATGGTTGCTCAGGTTTCCCGGCACAGGATTGTCACTGCACTTGATTGAAAGTTAATTAACCTGAGCATTGTCACACAGGGCCCCCAAAAAGGGGCTGGTGCAGCAGAGGAGAATTTGCATATGAAAACGCATCTTCCTGGGGCTCCCAACTGGATGGCTCCAAGGAAGGTTTTTTGTGGCATTTCGGTGCCATGATGCCTGTTTTTTTGGGGTGGGGTACAGGGATTGAACCCAGGGGCTCTTAACCCCGGAGCCCCGTCCCCAGCCCTTTTTACCTCATATTTAGAGACAGGGTCTCGCTGAGTTGCTTAGGATCTTGCTCAGTGGCTGAGGCTGGCCTCCAACCTGCGATCCTCCTGCCTTAGCCTCCCATTCTGCTGGGGTGACAGGCCTGCGCCCCTGCACCCGGCCTGATTCCTGTTTTCAAATGATGACACCCAAACTGGGATGGGTCAGTACCCAGCCGGGGTCAGAGCCAGGAGGAGAAGCAGGCTGCAGGGTTGCTCTGGAGGGAATCGAGGTGGGGAGAAGAGAGGTGACATTTCCCCCGCCGGCTGTCACCCTGCCCGTCCCCGTCTCCTAGACAAACTCCGGGGCGAGATCAACAAGGTGGTGAACAAGTACATCGACCAGGGCGTGGCCGAGCTGGTCCCCGGCGTGCTGTTCGTGGACGAAGTGCACATGCTGGACATCGAGTGCTTCACCTACCTGCACCGAGCTCTCGAATCTTCCATCGCCCCCATCGTGATCTTTGCCTCCAACCGAGGCAACTGTGTCATCAGGTAGGTGCTGCCGGCTCCCGGCTCCCCGGGTCTGTGCCCACCCACGACGTCTCAAGTCAGGATGGGACGAAGGGAGCGCACGTGGACCCTGAGCCTGTCCCTGATGGGCAGGGTTTCCACGGGTCCGAGGCTCAACGTCCCTGTGGGGAGCAAAGGCCCGAGGAGGCGGGGCCACTCTGGTGACCTGAGCCCGCTTCATCATCTCACTCAGCACGATCGTCTCCAGCTCCACCCATTTACCTGCAAATGCCATCATCGCATCCTTCTTGATGGCTGCGTAATATTCCACTGTGTATATGGACCCCAGTTTCTTTATCCGTCCATCTGCTGAGGGGCACCTAGGCTGGCTCCATAGCTCAGCTGCTGTGTATTGAGCTGCTATAAACACTGACAAGGACGCAGGTCTCTCCAGTAACAAAACCAGTAAGGACAGCAGTGCCTTTTTCCCAGGGACACAGTGGTGCCTCTGCACAGCTGCCCCAGGCCGTGGGGACGGGGGTCTGCTGCAGAATGGCTTGGACACATCTTTAGCACAGCGGCCGTGCCACCTGCGCCACAGCTGGGTGGCGTTCCTTGGCTCCCAGGCCCTCCCTGGGCCCCTGCGCTAGAGGCCTCCCCGCCAGCAGCCGAGGGCCGTGGGGACGAGCCCTGAGAATGCACGCTGGGGTGGGAGTTAGAAAAGGATCCCGCGGTCCAAGTGTCTCGGGACGGCTAGAGCCGGAAGTGACCCCCCATGGGCCCAGACTGGCTGCTGGGAATTTGGTGGCTCTCCGTGGAGAAGCCCTGTCTCAGGAGCTAGAGGGCCACAGCACCAGGCCCCCGCGGGTCCCTGCCAGTGGCCGTTCCCCTGCCCTTGGGATCTAAGCGAGTGACCCAGGCTCATGGGCAGCGTTGTGTGGTCGGGTCCCCCAAGTCCCCTGACGCCAGCTGCTGCAGCCTGGTGTCAACCCGCCCGGCTGCCCCAGGAGCGCCTGGCTTCAAGGCCCACCCCCCGCCTGCTCCATTTAGAGTCAGGGTCTCGCTGAGCTGCTTATTTAGCACCTTGCTTTTGCTGAGGCTGGCCTCCAGCTACGATCCTCCTGCCTCGGCCTCCCAAGTCGCTGGGAGGCACTTGAACTTCCGGTGGCTGAGGAGCGCCCACCGCGTGGCACATTCCCCAGCTCATGGATCTGTGCACCTGTCACCCGGAGCACGTGGGGTGGTTTGGCTGTGGGAGTGATGCCGCTGCAGATGTGTGGGGACCGCAGTTTCTTTTGGATCTGTGTGGAGGGGGGAGCTGCTGGGTCACACGGCACCTCTGACCTTCCAAGGACCTGCCAGAGGACGGCTTCATTGCCACACTCCTTCCGGGAATGTCTGAGGGTCTGGGTTTTTCCGCGTGCCACTCGATGTCTTTTACTGTCCCACTGTAGATGTCCTGGTGGGTGTGCAGTGGCCTCTCACTTGATTTGCATTTCCCAAGGGCCAGCAATACTGCATTTTTATTTATTGGCTATTTGTGTATCTTTGTAAAAATATCTGTACGTATCCTTGCCCCTTTTTTATTCATGTTATCTTTTTGTTGTTGAATTGTAAGAGCTCTTTATATATTGTGGATACTAGATGTTTATCCTGTGTGTGATTTGTATTTTCTATTCTCAGGGTAGTCTTTTCAGTGTTTGAACAGGGACTTTGACATAAACGAGTTTTGAATTTTGATTTAAAGCCCCAGTTGATTGTGCTCAGTGGTGGCTCAGTGGTGGAGTGCTTGCCCAGTGTGCCCAAGGCCCTGGGTTCCAGCCCCAGCGTCACATACACATACAAAAAAACAAAGAATTGCAGTTAGTCTGCTTTTTCTTTTGTATTTTTGGCCTCATATTTAAGAAATCATTGTCCAGCCAGGAGCAGTGGCGCACACCTGTGATTCCAGCAGCTCAGGAGGCTGAGGCAGGAGGATCACGAGTTGGAGGCCAGCCTCAGTGCAGCCCCAAGCAACTCAGCGAGACCCTGTCTCTAAACAAAAATTTAAAAAGGCTGGGGACGGGGCTCTGTGGTGGAGCCTCCCAAAATCAGCGAAAAGGAGGTTCTCTGGGGCCACCTGAGGGTCAGCGTATTACCTGTCCCTGGCTCGGCTTCCTTGGGGTCACCCCCTCGCTCTCTGTGGCTGTCAGTGTCCCCTTCCCGGTTCCCAGTGTCCAGCATCTTGTCTCAGACAAGCGTGGGTGACGGGACTCCTCTTGGCCTTCACAGGGGCACCGAGGACGTCACCTCTCCCCACGGGATCCCCCTGGACCTGCTGGACCGCGTGATGATCATCCGCACCATGCTCTACTCGCCGCAGGAGATGAAGCAGGTGCGCCCCTGTCGCCATCCCCTCCCGCCTTCCCTGCCGGCCCCCACCACCCTGGGCCGCTCCTGTTACCCAGAGGCTCTGTCCCCGCGTCTGCAGGGTGGGTGGGTTACGGGGACACTGTCCAGTGTCCCAGAGCCTCTGTTCCCCTGGGTCTTGCCTGTTCTCACCTTTAACCCCCTTTGGCCAAGTTTCAGGGAGAGAATAAGAAACAGGGACCTGCCAACAGCCAGGGACAGAACCAGGGCCCTCGTCCCTGAGCCCGTCCCCAGCCCTGTTCTGCATTTTATTGAGAGACAGGGTCTCACTGAGCTGCTCAGGGCCTTGCTTTTGCTGAGGCTGGCCTCCACCTTGCGATCCTCCTGCCTCGGCCTCCCCAGTGCTGGGATGACAGGCCTGTCATTCTCTGAGCCCAGCTGAAGGGCTTTGCTGGGGCACCTTGCAGCAGTGGTGGCCTGCATGGGGGTTGCTTCCTGGGGTGCACGCTGGCCTGGTCACCTGGACCCCACCCTGCTGGCCTCGCAGCATGCTCAGCCTCCCTGGGTCCCTGGCTCTGTCCCTCTGGACAGCCGGCGGGCAGGCTCGGACACAGCTGGAGGACTGGGTGTCCCCAGTCCCCGGGCCTCCACCCCTGGAGTGTTTTTATGGCTCTAATTGAAGCCTGGGCTCCTTGAGACCTTGTTTACGAAGCTGCCAGAGTGACAAATCCCCGTGTGGACCAGGCGCCAGGCCCCGGTTATCTCGGCCGAGCCACACGCCACCTCATCACCGCCCCTTAACACCCAGCGCCCCCGGGACCCCGCGCACCGAGCCTGGCCTCCCGCCGTGGCCGCCCCGCAGCTCCCCAGGACCCCGCGACAGGCGTCACCGGCTGACAGATGACATGGCCCCCGATGCTGTGCGGGCTGCCGGATCCCGGGGACACTTTCTGATTTATTGGCGCGTCCTGTTCCCCTCGCAAATAAAAATGGCTCCTCTCGGTCCCAGGCTGCGGAGGAAGGCTGGAGCCTCGGGGGTTGGGGTGCAGGGACACAGGGGGACACCAGGCACTCTTTAGTCAGTGAGCAGGACACCGGCCATGCAGGAGGCCCGGGTCTCCCAGAGGGTGCAGCCAGCCTCCCAGTCCCCAGTCCTGCAGCATGAGACGCTGCACAGGGTCATTTTAAAGCACTGGATAAAGGGGACATTTGGGCCCTGTCACTTATTTATTTGGTACCAGGGATTGAACTCAGGGGCACTCCACCCCTGAGCCCCGTCCCCAGCCGTTTTTACATTTTATTTAGAGACAGGGTCTCGCTGAGTGGCTCAGGGCCTTGCTAAGTGGCGGAGGCTGGCCTCTACCTTGCGATCCTCCTGCCTCAGCCTCCCGATGCTGAGATGACAGGCGTGGGCCACTGTGCCTGGGGCCCGGACACTGTTGATCGTGTTTTTTTTTCTCTGAAAGATCATTAAGATCCGAGCCCAGACGGAGGGGATCAACATCAGCGAGGAGGCGCTCAACCACCTGGGGGAGATCGGCACCAAGACCACTCTGAGGTGAGGCTGTGGCCTCCTGGGCCCAGGTGGAGGCTGCCCAGGGCTCAGGCTGTCTCTGGGCTTCTAGGTGTGACAAGTCCCGGGACACTGTGGCCTAGGCTCCTGAGCATCTGCGGTGGGTTGTAAAAGCTAGATTGACGAGAGAGGTCCCCCTTGTCCTACCGCTGACACTCCCTCTGCAGGAGGTCACTAACTCTGCCACTGTCCTCTGGGACAGGAGATGGACAGAGCCAGAGCCTGGGCTCCGTGGGGGCCTCGCCAGCCCAGCCTCTCCCCTGGCCCCTGGCTCCTGCCCAGGTGCCCGAGGACAGTGGGCTCTCCAGACCAGGGACGGTGTCCCCGACAGCCCACAAGGCCCTGTGACCAACTTCCTCAACTTCTGCGTGTCCCTGGGGTCTGGCTGAGGTCACAGCTGCAAGCCGCCTTGGGTGGGGGGTGACTTTGAAGACCTTTCTTAGCTGGAGACGCACGGGGCCTTTATTTGTATTTATCTATTTTTATGTGGTGCGAGGAGCAAACCCAGGGCCTCGCAAGTGCTAGGCAGGTGCCCTGCCCCTGAGCCCTGTCCCCAGCCCTTTTTGTATTCTATTTAGAGATAGGGCCTCAATAAGTGGCTGAGGCTGGCCTCCACCTTGTGATCCTCCTGCCTCAGCCTCCTGAGCCCCTGGGAAGCCACTGTGCCCAGTCTGGGGAGTTTCTAGTCTAGGGTTAAGGTGTGAGGACCAGCCCTTACGTCACACCAGTGGCCTCTCTGTTGGGGCTGTGACTGTGATGTTCCCAGTCATGGAAGCTCTGTCCTTTGCTGACCCCTGGCCCGACGGTCCGCGGCAGGTACTCGGTGCAGCTGCTGACCCCAGCCAACCTGCTGGCCAAGATCAACGGGAAGGACAGCATCGAGAAGGAGCACGTGGAGGAAATCAGCGAGCTCTTCTACGACGCCAAGTCCTCGGCCAAGATCCTGGCTGACCAGCAGGACAAGTACATGAAGTGACCCGGATGACTGCACGGGAGACTGCGGCCCCCCGAGGGCAGCGTGCACGGCCTGGGCCCGGCCCGCCCCGCTCACGTGAGGTCTGCGCTGTGGTTAGTTGTGTCTGAAGAGCATTTATTTTTTTTTTTAAATTATAACTTTTGCGATTGCTTTGGTAGAATCCTCCCTCCCTGAGGTGTTTTTAAATAAAACCTTACATGTCACTTGGGTGTCACCTCCCCTCCCCCGCCCTCCTTTGAACTTTTTTTGGTGGGGGGTACCTGGGATTCAACCCAAGGACATTTTTATTTAGAGACAGGGTCTCGCTGAGTTGCTCAGGGCTTTGCTAAGTGGCTGAGGCTGGCCTCCACCTTGTGATCCTCCTGCCTCAGCCTCCCAAGCCACTGGGATGACAGGCCATACCTTAATTATCTGTTATTGTGATATTTCTTCCAACATGGCCTGGTCTCGAGGCCAAAGGTGTGGGTTCTGGGCCCTGTCCCCAGGAGGGTGCCTCCGTGTCCCCCACTGCGTGCTGTTGGGATTTCTCTCAGGTTCAGGCCCTGGGACAAGCTCACTGTGGCGCAGGGGACAGCGGGGCCAGGGTGAATCCTGAGCTTTCCCTCCACCTCTGCCCACTGTCTCCTCGTCTGCTCGGTCCCATGTCCCCACACCCTGGCAGTGAGGTCAACACAGGGGGCTGGGATCGGCCACCTGCGGGTTCCAAGTCACTGAGGTCAGTGTGCAGCCACCGAGCCCAGGACGCCACCCTCCACAGGTGACAGGAGACGAGGGACCTGGTGGGTCTGAAGCCGTCCCCTCGACCCAGCCAGGAGGTGGCGGTCAGCACCAACAGGACGCGTCCACAGCGAGTGCTTCAGCAGACACAAGGGCACAGGGGCTCCCCACACCCAGGGTCCTGGTCAGGCCATGAGCTCACCTGAGGGACCCGGGGGACAGCACCTGACCAGTCCTTCCCCCAAACCATTGAGGTCACCAAGAACAAGGGCCATCGAAGAAAAGGTCACAGCCCAGAATAAGCCTCTAGAGATGGGACAACAAGGTCCCTGGCTGGGATTTCAGGACACAAAAAGGGGCATCAGGTCAAACAGAAGGCGTGGTGCAGGTGGTGACTGGGCGCCAACTACAGAGGACGACAGGTGACACACAGGAACACTCTCCACCGTCACACTGCTCTGCAAATCTGAAACTGCTCCCCTTGTGGCAGTGGACATCCAACCCAGGGCCTCACGTGGTTGTAAAATGTTCCAAGAAGCCAGGTGCAGTGGCCACACCTGTCCTCCCAGCAGCTCAGGAGGCTGAGGCAGGAGGATCGCAAGGTGGAGGCCAGCCTCGGCCACTTAGCGAGGCCCTCAGCAGCTCAGTGAGACCCTGTCTCTAAATAAATGCAAAATAGGGCTGGGGACGGAGCTCAGGGGTTGAGGGCCTCTGGGTTCAATCCCTAGTGTCCCCCAAAAGATGGAAGCCGAGTGGCCCGTGAGAGCCCAGAGCGCCCTGGGCCGCACCCCTCCCTTGGTGACCTCTAAGGGCAGGTTCCGCCCTGGCCCCTCCTCTGACCCAGGCCCCAACCTTTCCCAGGAACAGGCCAGAGGCCATGGTGACAGCAGGCCCCAGCTGGGGGTTGGGACAGAGGTGCCCTGGCGACCAGAGGGGGGTGTGGTCTTCTGCTTCCTGCTCCTCAGGTGTCAGGGAGGTGGCCCGCTGGCTCTGGGCGGAGGTGGCCCTGGGTGGGCAGGTTGGGTGGCCTGCATTTCCTCCGAGTCCCCGAGTCCCCTCTGTGGGCCCTGATGATCACACTCATCTCCCAGAGGAAGTCTTTACGAGCCGAGCCGTCCCTCGCCCACGGCGGGCAGTGTCTCCATCCATTATGGGCAGGACACAGCCCGGGCGGGAGCAGGGGATTTGTCACATCTTATCGCGCTGACACGCAATCTAGCGGCCATTACAGCACCCCCATTTTTTGTGCTATTTCAGCTCCAGCCTGAAAAATGGTTGTGATGTTTAGGTGGGGGGTGGGGGCTGGTCCCCAGAAGTGGCTCAGTGGGTCACAGCTGGGCCCAGGCCCTTGGGTGCCTCCCAGTAGGGGACTGGGTGGCCATCAATCCCTGCCCACTCTCAGGGACCACCGTGGGAGTGAGAACCCACAACCTGGAGGGCTTTTGGTCTTGGCACCAGGGACTGAACCCAGGGTCCCTCACCCGCTGAGCCCCGTCCCCAGCCCTATTTAGATTTTATTTAGAGACAGGGTCTCCCTGAGTGGCTTAGGGCCTTGCTAAGTGGCTGAGGCTGGCCTCCAACTTGCAATCCTCCTGCCTCAGCCTCCGAAATTGCTGGATGACAAGCCTTTGCCACCCAGCCCGGCTCCTTTCTGTTCCTGAGCCTCGGTTTCCCCATCTGTAAGATGGGCCTCCGTCTCCTATCGCTGGGGGTGTGTGACCATATCCCATGGACCTGGGAGGTGGTGTGTGATGAGCCACCCAAGCAGCCAGGATTGAGAGGAGCCCCCAATCCGGGTCCCTCCAGGAAGAGGACCTGGCAGCAAGGAGACCCCCGAGGGCCAGCTCCACCCTCCCCTCCCAGCCGCTGGGCTTAGAAGAAAAATCTCCATTTGGGGGATAAGAACCGGCGGCCTGCGGGGGGCCCCAGAGCACAGAGGATCAGACCAGGCGAAGTCCCCGGCTCCACCCAGTGTCCCCACTGGGAGAAAGACCCTGGGCTCCTGTCCCAGGGCTGCAGGGACGGAGGGCAGCGGCCACCCCTCTCCTGCTCACCCATCGGTCAGCCCCGTGCCTTGTCCCCTCCCCAGGGCGATTCACCAAACTGCCACCTCCCACTTGGAGGACGGTGCAGGGGGCCGCCCGCGGGCCGCTGTCGCCCTCGTCACCCTCGTCACCGTCGCGGTGATTAATGGGCGGCCGCGCGGCCGGCGATGGATGCGGCTGTCACTGCGCCCGGCCGCGCTGACCCCCGGCCCCGGCCCCGCGATCAATGGGCGGCGGCGGCGGCGGCGGCTGCGCGGGCGCGATAAGATGGGCCGATGGGCGCCGCCGATTGCCCGCTCCGTCACCTGCCGTCGCCGTCCCCGTCACGCCGCCCGCGCGCAGATCGGCGCCGTCAGCGTCGTGTGATTAATGGGGACACCGGCGGCCGTGGGGAGGGACGGCGCGGGGCGGGTGTGGGCCTGGGGACGCGCAGGGGGACCCCTAGGGCTCGGCTCCCGCCGCGCTCACCCGGGGACCCGGGGACTTCAGCGGGGGCGGGGGCGGGAGCGCTGTGACAGCCAGACGGGCTTCCCGACCCCACCCCGCCCGCGCCAGACTCAGCCACTGGGGCCGCCGTCCTGGTCCCTTGCGGACCCCTTTCCCCCCTGTCCCAGCCATCGGAGAACCCAGATCCGAGCCGGGCGCCTGTCATCCCAGGCCGGAGGCTGAGGCCGGAGGATCGCAGATTCGAGGCCAGCCTCCGAACTTAGTGAGACCCTTAAAAACCGAAAAGGCTGGGACGTGGCGCGGTGGCCAGCGCCCCTGGGTCAGTCCCTGTCGCCGGGGTCCCCACCCCAGGGGCGAATCCCGCCTGCACTCTTCACCCTAAGCGGGAACTTGTCGCATTCAGGACGCGGTGACAAGCTGCCGGGTCCGGGCTCCCGCGCACCCCGCCCGACTGCGGCGCGTTTCTCCAGGCGACCGGGGAGACCCCTGAGGTGACCGTCCCCTGGCACCGTCCCTGCAAACCAGCGGCCCCGCGGCCGCCCCGAGTCCAGCGCGACCCGCCGGGGGCCACGGAGGCCGGGGGACGTCCCGCAGCGGCAGCGCCGGCCACCGGGCGGGGGACAGCCGCGCCCTCCCTAGAGGAGCCGAGCTGCCAGCGGGGACGAGGTGGGGACCTCGGCTGGGTCCTCTGGGCCTCAGGCGACCCGCCGCGGAGACGCGCCGTCCCCTCCTCGCGGTTCCCGGGGGCTCCGCCGCCGCCTCGCAGCGAAGCGAAGCGCGCCCGGCAATTGCGAGGCTGCAGCGCCGCCGCGCGGACGCACGCGCACAACGCGGTCCCGGCTCCGCCCACGCCCCGCCCCGGGGGCGTGGCAACGCGCGCCACGCTCCTGCGCCGCCCACTCCCCCGCCCCTGGGGCGTGGCCTCGTGCGACCTGCTCCGGCACCGCCCACTCCCCGCCCTTGGGGCGTGGCCTCGCGCGACCTGCTCCGGCACCGCCCACTCCCCGCCCCAGGGCGGAGGGTGGCCAGGCGCCTGTGGCGGAGCCCTCCGGGAAGACGACGCCCGCGGTACGTGTGCGCATGCGTAGCGGGGACGGCTGGGAACGTGGTTAAGGTTTAAGAAAACCCCGAAGGAGCCGGCTGCGGTGGGGCGCGTCTGTCATCCCAGCCGCTCCGGAGGCTGAGGCAGGAGGGTCGCCAGGTGGAGGCCAGCCTCAGCCACTCAGCGAGGCCTGTCTCTAAGGGGCTGGGACGGGGTCGTCGGGTAGGCGCCCCGGGGTCCAGCCCCTGGGACCAGAACCCAAATTGCCCCGTGGTGCCCGCCCTCGGCCTCCTGTCCCCGACCTCCAGCTTCCCAGGCCTCGTCTCCGGACACCCCCAACCAGATCGAGGCGTCTGTGCGACACTGACTTGGGGACTTACCAAGTGCAAGGCTGGGGACTCGCCGAGGAGCCCCCAGAGCCGTCCATCAGGCGCTCCCCGTCACCCCATCATCCTCTGCGCTCTCCGTGCCACGTCCAGTGTCCTGCGCTTTGGAACTGACACGCGATCCCTGGGTCCCTGTCACCCGGTGTTGAGGGGATTCTTTTTAATTTGTAGGGACTGGAGGTTCCGGCGGGTGGCCGACCACGGAGCCACATCCCAGCCCTATTTTTTGAGACAGAGTTTTGCTAAGTTGCTGAGGCTGGCCTCGAACTTGCGATCCTCCTGCCTCAGCCTCCCAAGTTGCTGGGATTCAAGGCGTGCGCCACGAGGCTGGGGTCATGGAGGCTCTTGTCCAAGTCCTTGTAGGCCCAGTTCCTTTCACAGTTGAGGGCAGGGGCATCCAGTGTCCTGGCTTCATGGAAACTGCTAGACCTTTCCTGATGCCCTTCGGTTTGCTTCTCATCCAGGCTTTAATTTAGCTTCTAGAATGGACAGATGTGGTCCCAGAAGGTGTGGGGCAAGGGGTGAGGTGGGTGCTGAAGCTCGGGCTGGTGCCACAGGCTCAGGCACTGGTCCTCATCAGGAAGCTGTGCACTTCCCTGGGCCGCCCACCCGGAGGCTGGGACTGGAGGCTCATGGGTATTATCCTCCAGAGGATGAGGCCAGGCCAGTACGCAGATGGGGGTCAGTGGTGGGAAGGAAACCCAGGGGGTGGGAGCCAGGGGTGGCAGCCGACGTGGCCAGGACCCCCTCATTCTGGGCCTCAACTAGATCCCAGCAGGCAGGACCCTGGGGTAGGCAGAGCTCAGAGCTTGGCCTCCCATCTGCCTCCTGGCGCTTCCCGGGGCAGGAGGTTCCCGACTTGGGGTTTTCCCTGTATCAGGGACTGAACCCCAGGGCTGCTGGACCACGGAGCCCCACCCCAGCCCTTTTTATATTTAGAGACAGGGTCTCGCAAGTTGCTGAGGGCCTCACACTAAATTGTTGAGGCTGGCCTCCAGCTCATGATCCTCCTGCCTCAGCCTCCCTAGTCACGGGGATACAGGCGTGAGCACAAGGGGGCGCTCCCAGGAGGAGGAAGGCCAGGCTGCAGGCCAGCGCGCCTCTGGGGATGAGCCCGAGGGGAGAGGAGACTGTGACCCCGCAGTTTGTAAAAAGTTGCCTTTATTTCTCATTTATCCACCGTATCTCAGTTATGCCGTTTTGGCGTCCACAGTGACAGTCCCCTGGGAGCTGGGTCAGCCCCTGCCCACCCGCCCACTGTGACCACCGCCCACAGGCTGGAAGCCCAGGCCACAGGGGGCCAGCAGGACCGCAAGCTCCTCTCAGGTCCGGAGCTCTCCAGCCTCAGCCCGGGAGCCGGGGACTGGGCCTGCCTGCCAGAGGCCACGGAGTCCCCAGCGGTGGCCTGGGGAGGCCCTGACCTCTAACAGGCGCAGGAGAGGGACGGCGGAGGCCCCGTGGGCTGGGGGGCGGCTGGTGGCGGGGCTGCCCGGCTGGGGACTGGGTCTAGACAAGGCCACGTGTGAGAAGGTGCTGGGCCCTGGGCGGGGCCGGGGACCCCTGGTTCTGGTCCCAGGTCTCTGGGGACAATGTGCCACCTCTACTGAGGGGTGACGGGGCCCTCCAGAGGGAATCTGCAGCTGTGTCTGAGAGGGGCCTCCTGAGACCTCCGGGAAGGTCCCCAGCTCCGTGGTCTACGTCACCTGTCACCACAGACGTCATTGTCTTTTTGTCTCAGACACCAGAGCACCTTCCTGGGGACCCCGAGTCCCTGACCCTGAGCTGATGGCCGCCCTGAGCCTGAGCCTCCCCTCCCGGCCTCCGAATGCAGTGGAGGCTGAGTGTGGTGGAGGCTGAGAGAGCTGGTGGCGCCTCGCTGTCCCCTTACTTGCATTTGGTCCCTAAGTGCAGTAAGAACGTTCTAGAAACACAGGGGGAGACGGAACACGACCCTTCCCAGGGGCACAGGGGAGCTGCACGGTGAGGTCGCACAATGGCTGACTGGAGTCTGGACAAGCGGACGCGGCGGGGTGGTCCCCCGAGGGCACCGAGCTTGGCCAGGTGACGGGGGGAGGTGGCGACCCCAGGCCTCTCCTGGACGAGGACAAAGCTGCCAGGCCACGAGGTGGCCACGAGATGGCGGGGACGGCAGCCCTGGCTCTGCCCCACCGGACACTCAGTGGGAGAGCGGCCGCCAGTGGCCAGGGACCCAATGCCCCCCACGGGAACAGTCTTGAGCCAGACAGTGCCACCGCTGGTGACAACAGGGACATGCTGGTGATGCTGTCCATGTCCCCAAGAGGAGGTGCAACCCGACGCCCGACCACCCTAAGGCCACACACAAGAGATTTTGTGCTTCCAACCAGAGTCAAAAAGCCACCTTTGTGGGGACCAGGGACGCCACGGTGGCTGCACATGTCACTGAGGGGGGAGGGGAGGCCAAAACAAAAGTCTGACAGATGATGGGGACAGCGCTCACCGTCCCTGTCACGACTGCAGCTGCCAAAGCCAGGAGGAGGAGAGGGGCCCCGCTGGGGGTGGCCAGCCTCGCGGTGGACAGGAGGGCAGATGCCACCCAGCCCATGTCCCCATGCGCCACAGCTCCGCTGCCCGGGGCCACCGCTGCCTTCCGAGGCACCGCCCGGCGTCCTCCCTGGTCCTCGGGCAGGCGTGGCTCTCAGAAGAGCAGGGCGCCCATGCTGCCCACCTCGCTCTGCTCCTTGACGAAGATCTCGAAGTACTGGTAGATGATGGTGACCGCCAGCAGGATCCCGGTCCCCGAGCCGATGGCGCCCAGGAAGTCAGCCAGGACCGAGAGGGCCCCGATACACAGGCCCCCAAAGGCGGCCGCCGTGGGGATGTACCTGGGGGAGGGCAGGCGGTCAGCTCCGGGGCCCCACAGAGCCCCCAGGTGACCACCAGGCTTGCCCATGACTGAGACCAGAACCTCAGGAGGCCCGTGCGCCCCACTAACGCTACAGGACCTAGTCCCTGCTCGGGGACTGTGACTAGTCCAAACTGAAAGGCTGCCGGACGCAGGGGGCCACGCCTGTCACCCCAGCGACTCGGGAGGCTGAGGCAGGAGGATCGCAAGGTGGAGGCCAGCCTCAGCTACTTTGCAAAACCCTAAGCAGCTCAGCGAGACCCTGTCTCTAAATAAAATATAAAAAGGGCTGGGGAAGGGGCTCAGTATGGGGGCTGGGGACGAGACCCAAATGCTGAAGATGTCCCTCGAAATTGCCACTGTCCCTACCAAGGATTAGAGAGCAACCTGGAATTTGCAATTGTGGCTTTTAAAGTGGTTGCTTCTTTCAGGAACGGTCACCAAGTGACAGCCCCCACGACAACCTGGCCTGCCACCTGACTTTGTAGACACAGCCCTGCTCACTGTGGCTGCTGCCGAGTGGCAAAGAAGAGCTGAGAGTGTGGCAGAGAGGCCCAGGGAGGCCGGAGGCAGCCGTCCATCCAGGATGAGGCCCACCTGCAGGGGCTGCTCCTCCTGCCCCGGGCACCTACCACCTGGGACCTCTCCCCACCCTCCCTCCTCTCCACCCCAAAGTGACGGCCACAACTGGCCACCCGGCCGTGGTCCGGCTGATCTCTGGCCTCCTGTCCTCTCTGACCTCCCTGCTTCAAACACCATCCGCCCCCTGCGGCTCTGCTGGCCTCTCTGCCACATCCACCATCTTTTTTGGTCCCAGGGATTGAACCCAGGGGCACTTAACCCCTGAGCCCCGTCCCCAGCCCTTTTATATCTTATTTAGAGACAGCGTCTCACTGAGTTGCTGAGGCTGGCCTCCACCTTGCCATCCTCCTGCCTTGGCCTCCAGGTGTGCCCCACGGGGCCTGGGGCTTCAGCTTAGATCCATCTGGAGCCCCCCTCTGTGCTCAGGTCCTGGGCACCTGCTCCTGGATGCCACCAGCATGAGCAGAGGTGAGGGTCCCTTGCCACCAGCACCGTCCCTACAGAGCCCCATGCTGGGCCGCCAGGCACCTGTTCCCATGTCCCCAGAGCCCAGCACTTAGCAGGTTCATGAATATCCAATGACGCGGGGACCTTCCCTGTCCTGCAACCCGAGGACGAGACCCATGGCCACTGGAGACCCCGAGGCCACCAGTGCCCGAGGCCCAGGAGCCGCACACGCCGACTGGGAGCGGGCACCGCACTCACCGGTTGAGCTCGTGCACCATGGACGTCTCCCTGTGGCCCCGCATCACCATCTGCTGCTCCTTCAGCTGCTTGGCCACCTGCAGGACGCCCAGAGCGGAGGACAGGCTCAGAGGTGGGTTTGGAGGGAAAGGTCTCGAGGTGCTGGGCACTTACAGGGCTCCTTCTGCAGCTCTAGGTCTTTACACGGACTTTAAGGGCCGGGGGTGCGCCTGTCATCCCAGCGGCTCGGGAGGCTGAGGCAGGAGGATCGCAAGGTGGAGGCCAGCCTCTACCACTTAGCGAGGCCCTGAGCCACTCAGCGAGACCCTGTCTCCAGATGAAATCTAACAGGGGCTGGGAGGTGACTCAGGGGTTAAGTGTCCCTGGGACCAACAAGGTGTCGTAAGGAGACGACGACACAAGTGTGATCTTCCACTCTGGCTTCGGGTTCTCAGACCTGCTGCTGACGGCTGAGCTCTGTCCGTCTGTCCTTAAGGCTCTGAACTGTCTCACCAAGGTGGGTGGCCCGTGTGCATGTCACAGACCACCACTGTGACAAAGCGACAGGGCACGTGACACTTTAATAAAGTCCGCTCATACTTACATCCTTAGCAGAGGAGCCCGAGACCTCGATCCAGGTCTTGGAGAAGAAGGCGCAGGAGCCCAGCATGAAGACGATGTAGACCACCGCGTGGACGGGGTCCTCCAACACGGAGCCAAAGGACTCCGGCGGGGACAGGTAGTAGCACAGGCCACCAACTGGGTAGGCGCGGGCCGGGCCTCCAGAAGACGTGTCCTGGGAAGAAGGAACAGAAGGTCTGGGACGCTGTATCTACTGAACCTGAGCTTCTACATGAACCCAGAGCAGATCAAAGACTGTGATTTTTGGCGGGCGCAGTGGCCCACACCTGTCACCCCATAGCTCAGGAGGCTGAGGCAGGAGGATCGCAAGGTGGAGGCCAGCCTCAGCCACTTAGCAAGGCTCTAAGCAGCTCAGCGAGACCCTGTCTCTCATGCACAGAATTTGGGAAAGAACACAGGGGAGGACAGCTGTGGGCAAGACACTTGGTCATGGTGGCCGGGAGAGGCTCCCTGGGGACAGTGGACTTACAGACCAGGTGCCCAGCAGGCTGACGAGCAGGTTCCCACTGAAGCGGGCCGACAGCATCTGGGAGATGACGTAGAGGTTGGAGACCAGGGCGGACTGCAGGATGATGGGGATGTTGGAGGTGTAGAACAGCTTGATGGGGTAGGTGTTGTACTGGCCCCGGTAGCGCGCAGACTTGATGGGCAGGTCCACCCGGAAGCCCTGAGGACACAGAACAGGGCGCCCGTCACTGCCTCGCTGCCCCCTACGGTCCAGAGACATGAGAGGTGGCACCAGCTCTGGGGACCCGACTTCTGACAGTGTTGGGGAGCACCTGCCCCTTCCCTCACCCCCACTGTGCTTAGGGCACACACAGTGGCCCACGCCTGTCATCACCAGCAGCTCTGGAGGCTGAGGCAGGAGGACTGCAAATTGGAGGCCAGCCTCAGCAACTCAATGAGACCCTGTATCTAAATAAAATCTAAAAAGGGCTGGGGACGGGGCTCAGGGGTTAAGCGCCCCTGGGTTCCATCCCTGGTACCAAAAGATAAAAGAGATCCACAGCTCCTGTGCTCACACTGGACACACCTGGAAATAGATGACCACGGCAAAAACAAAGATGGTGGCGATGAGGTTCATGAGGTTGGGGAGATTCTGGCGGTAGAAGGCCTCTCGAAGGGCTCGGACTTTGTCTGTGCGCGTGGCCAAGAGATGGAACAGTGCGATGATGGCGCCTTCAAATTCCATGCCTGTTGGCGGAGGAGGGCACAGATGTGAAGGGAAGAACAAGAGGCTGGACTCACCTGGGTCTTGGGCCTCCTACCGGCCAAAGAAGAGGCAGGAGAACAGAATCAGCCAGGAGACTCACAGTCACGGGGTCACAATCTGGATTTTTTTTTTTTGGTCCCAGGGATGGAACCCAGGGGTGCTTAACCCCTGAGCCCCGTCCCCAGCCCTTTTTAGATTTTATTTAGAGACAGGGTCTCGCCGAGTTGCTCAGGGCCTTGCTAAGTGGCTGAGGCTGGCCTCCACCTTGCGATCCTCCTGCCTCAGCCTCCCGAGCCGCTGGGATTTCAGACATGCGCCTGATACAATATGAATTTTTTGAATCTCTTATTTCTCTTTCTATTTGAACTACAGCAATGGACTAGTCCACTTTTTAAATTCTTTGGGTACTAGGGATCGAACCCAGTTCTTCTTATTTTTAAATAAGTGGCCTTGAACTTTTTTCTTTTCCTTTTTTAAAGTATTTTTTTGGTCGTGGTTGACTCAATACCTTTATTTTATTTATTTATTTTATGTGGTGCTGAGGATCCAACCCAGGGCTAGGCAGGAGCTCTGCCACTGAGCCACAGCCCCAGGCCTGGCCTTGAACTTTCTTCCTTCTGGGCCTCAGCCTTCGCTGAGATTAGAAGTGATCAGAGGTCCCAGGTGGCCCCGCCCCGCCCAGCTACTCCACCCTTTTGAATTCACTGGTGCCCTTTCTTGGCCGGGTGAGTTCAAGGCCACGGCTGCTAGGGATGAAGAGCCCCAGGCAGAAGGGCCCCCCAGCTCCTGAAGTCAGGCTCAGGCTGGCCTGGGGGGTGGCCCTCTGTGCCCTATGCAGTTGCACACACGGCCCTATGACATCTGTGCCAGCACGACGGTCACAATCTTGATTTTTTTTTTAGTACTGGGGACTGAACTCAGGGTTCCTTGACCCCCGAGCCCCCTCCCGAGCCGTATTCTGTATTTAGAGACAGGGTCTCCCTGAGTTGCTTTGGGCCTCGCTGTGGCTGAGGCTGGCCTCCACCTGGCGATCCTCCTGCCTCAGCCTCAGCAAGGGGCAGAAAGGGGCATGGCCTGAGGAACAGCAACAGATGGGCCACGGACGCTACAGCACAGGGCACCAAGGTCCAAGCACTTCAGAAATGGTGTGAGACTGACTTGAGGACAAAAGCACAGTGGGAAACACTGTCACCTGTCACCGTGACCCCTGCTGCCCAGGTCAGTGCTTCCCTAGACGTGGCCTCTGTGGGCAGAGTGGCTGCCGGCTGGGGACTCAGACATCCCAGTCCCTCCTTGGGACAGCATTTTTCTGCCACCCCTGACTTGGGACAGCGAGAAATGTGTCGCTTTCTGGCCGGCCACTCAGATGGGCCATCTGTCCTGTAGACCACGTGGACGGGACGTCCAGGAAAGAAACGCTGTCCTACCACTCCCTGTGGTCCAGAATCTGAAGATATTAAAGCTCCAGCATTTTGTAAAGGAGGAAGTTCAGCAATCCCAGGGGGAGGAAGCAGGGACTTGTCCTGGCTCCTCTTGCCACCAATGACCTCTCTGAACTCCTCTCACATGCTCCGCCTAGCCCCACGCCGACCCTTGAACACACCAGCTCATCTCTGCCCCAGGGCCTTTGCACCTGCCAGGTTCTCTAGACGGACCCCCGTAATGCTCTTCCCCAGTCGCCCCGTCTGCCTTCTCTGCTCCACTCTGACATCTGTCACCCAGGGCCCTGGGTGACACTGAAGCTCACGCGTCTTACGTTATATCCCTTTGTATTTTTAGCACCCACAGAAGTGCTGACACTAACAGCACCTGCCTGACAAGTTTCTGGAATAAAAGGTGGGTCACAGCAGTGGCAGGGTGAGGGCCTTAGGAGCTTTCCGAATGTTTAACATGGTCATTTCTTGAAAGTCACTACCCGCTGATCTCTGGGAACTGGGTTGTTTCTTGCACTAGTGCCGCCCGGGGGTGAGAGCCGTGTGACCTCTGTACTGTCCCCCTCCCTCCCAGCCTGGACTGTCCCCCACCTCAGGGAAGCAGGACCAACTGCGCTCTCCACCTGAGGGGCCCTTCCACACCCCACTTTCCAGGTCACAAGCTGAGCCGTGGTGGCACCAGCCGCAAGCCACCTGTGCCCTCTCTGCCCACTTCTTGCCCGTCCTGGGGTGTCCCTGTGACTCCGCCATCTTGGCTCCTTCCAGCACCACTCATGGCCCCCCAGGTAGCCCCTCTGCCCCAGCCAGGTCCCAGAGGTGGCCAAGGGCAGCCACCTCCACATCTCGGTTCCCTGGGGCCTTCACCTCTCGTCAGGTCCTAAGGCCCTTGCTCTGATGTCACACTGGCTGGCTCACGCTGGATGGCTGTGCCACCTCCCAGGCTTTTTCTCAGCCTGTCTCCCAGGGACAGCAAATCTTTCCTTCCCAAACTGTCCCCTCACTCACTACCCTGCTCCAGAGCAAAGTGACCCTCAGGGTGGCTGCCGCGGCCCAAGCCTTCGCTGACGGGCCCCTGTGGCCACCACTGCTCCCGATCCTTTCAAAGGCAGGCTCCCCCCCAAAGCCAGGGGGTCTTGGCAGACACCCCGACTCCTACCCGGCCTTCACCCCCACATCCACGACTGGGGCCCAGCTGCTTTGCACCCCCAGGTCCTCAATTCATCTCAGATTTTCTAGAATTCTAGTTAGAGTCCATGGAAAAACTTGGTGTCACTTCTGTAAGTGTCCCCAACCCTCCTTCTCCAAGGTCCAGTCTTTCCCATGGGATCCCTCAGGCACCCTGCAGGGACCTGTGTGCAGTTTCCTCAATTTGATGACGAGGCACTGGAGGCCAAGAACCAGCTCCACAGTGAATTCCAAGAAAACACGAAAATGCACACAAGTATTTCTCCTGAGGGACTTCCCGGCAAATAACAGCTTCAGGTTCAGAGGCCAAAAAAGAAAAAAGTCGATTTCCATGCGTCATGGCGCACACCTGTGATCCCAGTGGCTCTGGAGGCTGAGGCAGGAGGATTACAAACTGGAGACCAGCCTTAGTAGAATTGGGGCCCTGAGCAACTCAGCGAGACCCTGTCCCTAAATAAAATATAAAAAGGGCTGGGGACGGGGCTCAGGGGTTAACTGTCGCTGAGTTCAATCCCCAGTGCCTCCTGCCCAAAACTGGCAATACTGGGGGTTGAACCCAGGAACAGCCATTCTACCCCAGCCCTTTTTGAGACAGGGTCTCACTTATTGGCCAAGGCTGGCCTTGAACTTGTCATCCTCAAACGAACTGCATCTTGCCTGAACAAGTGGTTTGCTGTAGCAATTTCATTTTTAGAATCTTATTCACTAGGAACAACTCTAAAATATGTGCAGATGATCGCCCGAGGACATTCACTTCGATGCTAACTGTAACCGAGAAAGGACTGAAATGTCCACCAGAAGACAATTGGCTAAAATCAACACTCCTTTCTCCTTGCAGTGCAGGTTCATGCTAAGAAAAATGAGGCAGGAGTACTCTGTGGCATGCTAAATGTCCTTGAAATACTCTTATAAGATGTGGAACTTTAGAATTTAGAAGTTTAGATATTATTTTGAATGTAAGCCTTACTTTATTTGGTACTAGGGATTTAACCCATTTAACCCCTGAGCCCCGTCCCCAGCCACTTTTTATATTTTATTTAGAGACAGGGTCTCGCTGACTTGCTCAGGGCCTTGCTAAGTGGCTGAGGCTGGCCTCCACTTTGCGATCCTCCTGCCTCAGCCTCCTGAGCTTCTGGGATGACAGGCTTAAGCCTCTGCACTCAGCTATATTTTTAAAGCTTTGCACACTGGAAATTCAGAAGAGATGTCCTTGAAACACACATTTCCCCCAGAGGAATGCTTTGCGTGCATCAAAACTTCCCGCAGAGGTGCCCCCGGGGAGGCAGGGCCCTTACCTCGGCCGGTGTTGACGGTGGTGGGGCTGAAGGCCTTCCACACGATGGTCTCGCAGATGTTGGTGGCGATGAAGAGGGAGATGCCAGAGCCCAGGCCGTAGCCTTTCTGAAGAAGCTCATCCAAAAGGAGAACGATCAAGCCCGCCACAAAGAGCTGCAAAATGAAAATCAATCAATCACTAAAAGTGGACTCCATGTCACTAGCCCCAGGGACCTGGTTCTTCCCATCTGGCTCTCTGCTATGAGGCCAAATAAGAGCCTCTTCTCGGTCTGCCTTGGTGAATTCAGAAGCCAAAACCAGGGTCTTTCCATTCTTTTATTTATTTATTTTTTTTGTTTTTAAATCCCTTGAGCGCTCTACAGCTGAGCCCCAGCCCCAAAATACTTTGTTTTTATTTCTTAAATTTTTTTGTAATTTTAAGTGGACAGCATGCATTTATTTATTTCAATATTTTTCGTAGTAGATGGATGCAGTATTTTTATTTTAATTTTTGTGCGGTGCCCAGGCTCGAACCCAGGGATTTGCACTGGTTAGGCCAGCACTCAGCCCTGAGCCCGGACCCAGCCCCGGCTGAGCATCGCTGCGGAGGAAGAGGGAGGGCAGGGTCCCTCAGGAAGCGGGGTGCAAGTGGGAGCTCACCTGAATGGTGATGAGCAGGCAGATCCCAGCGCCCATCTCCGAGGGGTCCCCGTACATGCCCGTCATCACGTACACGATAGACTGGCCGATGGTGATGATCATGCCGAACACTAGGACCCCAAGAAAACCCTGAGTTGGTCATCACAGGGACATCAGTGGGACACCAGGAGTGGGAACAGCTGCTGGACACTCCTGCAGGGCAGAGTGTGGCAGGAACCCAGACGAAAAATACTGACACTGCCCCGGGGACCTTGGTGAGGACTGTCAAACTGTCACACGTCAAAAGCGCACGAGAACTCAGAGGCCTTCTAGCGAAAGCACACGTTTGGTCTCTTTTGTGGCTTTAGGGATTGAACCCAGGGACCCTTGACTACTGACCCCCGTCCCCAGCCCTATCTTGTATTTTATTTAGAGACAGGGTCTCGCTGAGTTGCTCGGGGAATTGCTAAGTTGCCGAGGCTGGCCTCCACCTTGCAATCCTCCTGCCTCAGCCTCCTGAGCTGCTGGGATGACAAGCATGCTCCACAGCACCTGGCTTCGATTTAATTCTTATGACAGCTCTGAAGTAGAAGTCACCTCTTTCGTGAGGTAAGGAAATCGTGGTTGGTGAACGGGTGACCTCCATGCCCTGATCCTTCAACTCCACCCTCTGGGGCGTTCCTGCCCTCCCCTGCCCTGCCTGGCCTTACCCCGTACCCAGCATCTCCCAGAAGTGCTCTCCCACTAACAGGCCATGGAGCACCTACAGGGTTGGCAGGCCGGGGACACAGGCCAAGGAGGGGACACAGGCCAAACTGGGCTGTTTTAATGCCCCCGATTTTAGAGCCAATTCAAATTCTCAACTAGACACCAGAACTTTCCACATGATCTTTCTTACACTTCTGGGCTCCGTTGAAGAGGGCTCGGTCTTTTGGGGTGTCACCAACTTCGATAATCTTGGCGCCGGCCAAGAGCTGCATGATGAGGCCCGAGGTGACAATTGGAGAGATACCCAGCTCCATGAGTGTGCCTAAAGAAAGGGGTGGCAACACAGCCCTCGTGAGCTCAGGAAAGGGAGACCTCATTTAATAAAACGAACCTCCAGATTTGCACGTGTACCCCTTCTCCACGTCAGATGCGCTTCAGGTTGCTGGCAGCAATTATAGAATAATCCCCCAAAACCAAAGAGCAGAACCCAACCGAATCCCTCCTTGGAGCCCGCCAGGCCCTGTCTCCTTCTGTTAGGAAAGTCACATCCCCCAGAACAGATCCATTCTAGCTGGACAGAGATCAGAGAGGTCCCTCCTCCATCAGTTTATAAAACTGGGTAACATTCAAATCATCTCCTGAGGCTGGAGACGGGGCTGGTCCCATCCTATCTAGTTGGGAATCAACCTTCCTTCCATTATGTTAAGCTGAACTATGATTCTGAGGGGCTGGGACCTCATTTGAACCCCATTTTTAAACCATGACCATCAAATGCACCATCAACATACACAAGAAAATTATTTTTCCAGACCCACAGGGGACTAGTCAGAGTCGACCCTACACTGTCTGTCGCTCGGGTTTTGATGCATATATTTCACCTGTAGATATGAAAGAGATGCAGCTGAGAAACAAATGGAATGTTCTAGAAAATGTTATGGTGGACTCGCCATCTCGTTTCAGGTATTGAAAACACTCTAGTTTTTGCAAGTTTTCAGAAATTCTCTAGCAGAGACTTATCTGGCTCTTCCAGGTTTTGTATTGCATTCAAACCCAACTCCAAAGAAGATGATCTTTCTCAGGGCGGAATGCACCATTGATCAGGCCATTCAACGTGGCACCCGCAGACACTGCAGGCTACGTAGCTTCCTGTTCTCTGAGCTCCACAGAAAGGCTGTCATTAAGCTAAATGGGGCTTGTCCAGCAGAGAAGAGGCCGAGTGAGTCTGAGCCTACCTCTGTTGGAGGCCAGAATCACTCGCATCCAGTAGAAAGGGTCCGCAGAATCGGAGGACATAATACCAAATAGAGGGATCTGGAAAGAAGCAGAAAGAAAAGGAGTATGTCTGGTCCCCTCTCCCCCCCTGCCCCAAAGCCAGCACAGGAGACCGGATTTACCTGACAGCATACTAAGAAGATGAAGAGGGTGATGGCTGTCCACAGCACCTTCTCCTTAAACTGGATCTGCAGAAGAGACAGAATCAGAGCACAAGAAGTTTCCCAGCAAGTCAATAAAAATGAAGCAGGTCGGGAGGCTGAGGCAGGAGGATCACAAATTGGAGGCCAGCCTTAGTAATTTAGTGAGGCCCTAAGCAACTCAGCGAGACCCTGTCTCTAAACAGGGCTGAGGATGTGGCTCAGTGGTCGAGTGCCCCGAGTTCAATCCCCAGTATCCCCCCAAAAGAACACTGCGTAGAAAGTGACTTGTCACACAGACAAGCCTACACGTATGAGCGATTTCACTGGATGGAAGAGCTGGTAAGTAAAATCTGGAATTTGGGATTGTTGACGTGATTTTCTGTGAATCAAGCAGAAAACCATGTAATAAATAACATGGGGGAGAAAGTGTTGCCCCGAGTTCTAGTAACATCTGTTGAAGCAACTTTAAGCATTTTTACATCTTAGGAATGGAAGTTGAACAGGTGACATGATTCATTTTACAGATGACTGTCAAGAATCATTAGGAAAGTTCACAGCCCTCCTGCCCAGGAGTTAGTCACTGAGTGAGAGTGAAAACTCTTCTGGATTTTTCTGCCTTGAAAATGGAGTGTATCATTAGTCTTGCTGCCTTTACTACCAAGAAGGCACAATCTCCTACAGTGGGGCTGGAGGCAGACACACACATACCCCCACACAGAGGGGGTGAATTCAGGGCTCAGATATGAATCTATCGGGTTCATACATGATACATATGCATCTGTGCCACACAGAATCTGGAGCTGAAGGATATATACTCCTAACTTCCTGGAGGAGGGCTCCAAACCTTTCCTTCCCTTGGGGAATGCTCCCCTTACACACTGCTGTCCTTCCACAATGAGACAGAAGTTATCCAGAGGAAGGTGACACCATTCAGACTAACCAGTGATATGACAAACTTGTAGTGAAACGCACCTCTTCCCCCACTCCGCCCTGCAGTGCTGGGGGACAAGCCGGGGGTCTACTGCATATACTAAGCAAGTGCTCTACCCCTGAGCTCCATTCTCAGCCTTTTAAATTTCTATTTTGAGTCAGGGTCTTGCTAAGTGGCTGAGGCTGGCCTCCAACTTGCAATCCTCCTGCCTCAGCCTCCCCAGTAGCTGGGATGACAGGACTCATTTTGAAATGACTAAGTCTCCTCTCTTGGTTACAGATTTAACAGCACAAATTGAAAACCTCTTTACCCAAGGGCCGTCTCCTCTGCCTTATAAATAGCTCCTAGCCCCATGGGCGTTCAGTACTAAGGTTCATCCTCCCATGCAAAAGCCTGCAAACCAGACTCTAGGCCTCCCTCTTACTTCCAAAGCAATTTCCTGTCAGATCCTCTCCATTCATCTCCCATCGCTTCCTGCTTGCCCACGTCCACCATCCAAACACACGAGGCTGGTCTTTTTATTTTTGTACCAGGGACTGAACCCAGGAGTGCTTCACCCCTGAGCCCCGTCCTCAGCCCTTTTTTTATATTTTATTTAGAGACAGGGCCTTGCTGAGTTGCTGAGGGCCTCACTAAGTTGCCGAGGCTGGCCTCCAACTTGCGATCCTCCTGCCTCAGCCTCCCACAGTGCTCTGCTAGTCTTGTCTTCTTTGCCTTAAATACCAAATTAGACTCCCAAAGCCTAAGATCCACACAGATGTCAAGCACACATCAACCTGTGGGTGCATTCACAACAGTCTGTGTAGAGTAGACACAAGTATCTCACTGGCCACTTTCAGAGCCGGGTCCTTCACCATTGAACAGCTCCAGTTACATCAGGGAATCCCTCTCTTGGGCTGCAGTGGGCCGCCATGCAAAACCCCGACATCTCTATCTTAGTCTGACTGCACCTGCTGGGGAGAGCAGCGGCCCTCCCCAAACGCCTCTCTGAGCATTTTGACAGCCTACGAAAGAGGAAGACCTCATCCGCACCCCGGGCTGCTCTTGCCCTTAGTAGCTGGATTCAAAGGGCGTCTCCTGGGGTCCTGCTGGAGGGAGGGAGGGAGGGAGGAGGGGTCCCAGGAGCTGATCCTGCCGGAGGGGAGGGCGGTGGGGACCCAGGAGCTGCGCCGCTGGAGGGGAGGGAGGGAGGGAGGGAGGGAGGTGACTCAGCCCGGGGATCTTCACGATTCGCTCGTGGCCCAGATTCTTTTTGGGGACAGGGGAACCTGATTCGAAAGAAACAACTCCCGCGAAAGGCGCTGCGAAGAGGGCGCCACGGCCTCGGCGGGGAGTCCCGGTGCCCGGCGGCCTCCCCTCTGCCCGGCGGCCTCCCCGCGGCCTCCCGCTGCCCCCCGGCGGCCCGAGGCCATCTTGGCCCGCGGCGGCTCACCTTGCGCTCCGGCTTCTGGATCTCGGGCAGGATGACACAGAAGGGCTTGATGACTTCCAGGAACTTGACTTCGGGGGGACAAAGGAGAGCGGCAGTGAGCGCCCGGGAGGCCGGCCGCGCCACCGGGGAGCCTCGAGGCCCGGAGGGGCAGCGCGGCGGAGGAGGGCCGGGGCCGGGGCGGCCTGGCCGGGGGGCGCGCGGGGAAGGGGATCCCACCCGTCCCGGCCGCCCCGGGGGAACTCACTCGCCATGGCGGCGGCTGCTCGGGCTCGGCGCCCCGCTCCGGCTTCGCTGCGCTCCGAGTGGAGTGACGCCGCCTGCTCCGGAGCGCAGCTCCTCCGCCGCCGAGAGACACGTCAGTGCTAACCCGGCGGAGAGCGGCGCGGCGCGGGGCGGGGCCGGGGGCGGGGGCGGGCCGCAGGCCACTTCCGCTTCCTGCCACGCGCGCCGGCCGGCCGCCGCGCCGCTTCGGCCGAGGCCACAACTCCCGGCAGGCAGCGGGGCCCCGAGGCCCGACGGGAAGCGGGCGCGGGGCATGCCGGGGCGGGGCCTGGAGCTGGGCTTCTGCGGCTGCGCAGACTCGGCGGGGGCAGCCGACCGCAGAGGGTGGGTGGCGCTTCCGGAGCCCGGCGGGGCGGGGGCGGCGGGCCTGGGTGACGCGCCGGTGGCTTCCCTGCCGCTGACCGCGCTTAGCGCTCCTTGAGGTCGGCGGACGGGCTGCAGGGCCCGAGCGCCGATGGGTTTCGGTGTTTGTCCGCTCGTGGGTTCCGGCCGGGGAGCCTCGGGACGCCTTTGTTGGGTCACTCGGCAAACGGGCGGGTCCGGCCAGGCGTGGCCCCTGCAGCGGGGACAGATGGTTGCGGAAGGGACCTCGTCGGAGGAAGGCTGCGGCGGCTCGGGGAGTAACCCGGAGTCCCTGGGCCAAGCCCGCTCCCCCTGGGGGAGACCCGAGGGGGCCGCCGTGGCCGGGCGAGGGGACCTCGGTGGGAGAGGGGACCTCTGCCCGGGAGCGGGGACCTCGGGCCGGGCGTATCCGGGGGGAGCGGGCGCTGCTGGGGGGCGGACAGAGTCACCAGACCTTGGCCTGAGCCGGTGGAGGTCGCAGTGCCGACGTGGCGAGGTGGCCTTTTTTGCTGTGCCTTTTGGTCCTAGGGATTGAACCCACTGAGCCCCCGTCCCCAGCCCCTTTTTATATCTTATTTAGAGACAGGGTCTCGCTGAGTTGCTCAGGGCCTCGCTAAGTGGCTGAGGCCGGCCTCCAACTTGCGATCCTCCTGCCCCAGCCTCCCCAGGCGGGAGCCACTGCCACCCACGCCAAGTTGCTTTTTTAGGTGTTCCTGATTTTATTTCCCCTTAACCACCGTGGTCAGGCAGGTAGATCCATTCAGTGAAGTGGCCCAGGTGGGACACCGCTTTATATCCATCCCTCACCAAACCCAAAAGCCCAAACAACAGAAGGTCTTTGTGATGGTGCAGGAGGATCACCAGGTGGAAGCCAGCCTGGGCCGTGGAGTGAGATTCAGGATCGAAATTTTAAAAAAGGGCTGGGGATTAGCTGAGTGGCAGACCACGCCTGGGTTCAGTCCCCAGTGCCATCAAAGAAAAAGACAAAGAAAAGCAGGTAATGACTAGGGTCGTGATTGCTGTGCAAGCCCCCACCTTCCCTTCCAGGACCCAAGGCCAACCCTGGCAGCCTCTGGACTGAATTCAGATAGACCAGAGCAGGTATTTGGCCAGCACTCACTCTGTACCCACGATGAAATGCTCTCGTGGTGTCATAGTAATTGGAATAAATGTCCCAATGAATTAATATTTTATTGTACTGGGAATTGAACTCAGAGGCACTGAACCACTGAGCCCCATCCCCAGCCCTATTTTGTATTTTATTTAGAGACAGGGTCTCGCTGAGTTGCTTAGGGCCTCACGGTTGCTGAGGCTGGCCTCCACCTTGTGATCCTCCTGCCTCAGCCTCCTGAGCCGCTTGGATGACAGGCCTGCACCACCGCACCTGGCTCAAATATTTTAAACACAAACTCATTGGTTGGTACTAATAGTAGGATGTAAGTTCCGTTGATACTAGACCTCTTGTTATGGCACATCTGGGAAACGTTCGTGACCGGTTGACGAGTGTCACTGAAAGGACTGTTGAAAAGTTGCGTAGGTTTACAAACACGATTTGCTTTAGGAGAATCACTAGTTTGAGCAGGGCTTGGTGGCACATGCCTGTCATCAACAGGTAATCCCATGCCTGTAATCCTCCGAGGCTGAGGCAGGAGGATTTGTGAGCCAAAGCCAGCCTCATTAGCTTAGTGAGATCCTGTCCGTAAATAAAATACAAAAAGGGCTGGGGTTCAATTCCTGGTAGAAAAAGAAAATAAAAGATACTTTTATTGCTGGACATAAATTGTGGTACATACTTGTAATCACTGTGACTTTGGAGGCCAGGATAGGAGGATACTGAGTTTGAGGCCAGCCTCAGCCATTTAGTAAGTCCTAAGCAACTTGATGAAACCATGTCTCAAAATAAGAAATAAAAAGGTCTGTGGGTATGGTTCAAGTGGTAAAGCATCCTTGGTTCAATTCCCAGTAACCCCCCCCCCCCTAAAAAAAAAAAAGGACACTCTGTTGTTAGCACATCATGATTATTTTGGGAAATTGTAGGTATGCAGTGTTTTTAAAAGCTTAAGATTATATTATAAAATTAGAAACAAGCCAGGCATGTGGCCCACACCTGTCATCCCAGCAACTGGGGAGGCTGAGGCAGGAGGATCGCAAAGTGGAGGCCAGTCTCAGCAAGGCCCTAAGCAACTCAGCGAGACCCTGTCTCTAAATAAAATAAGAAGGGCTGGGGACAGGGCTCAGGGGTTAAGTGCCCCTGGGTTCAATTCCTGGTACCAAAAAAAGAAAAAGGAATATTAAGATTATTATTACAAACCTCATCCACCACCCGGAATTAACAATGTAAGAAATCAGACAATGTTGGATGCTCATATGGATTTAAGCACTCCCTGTTTTGGAGCTAGGGCTGTGGCTCAGTGGTAGCACACTTGCCTGGCATGCGTGAGGTCCTGGGTTCGATCCTCAACACCCCATATCAATAAATGAATCAATAAAATAAAAGATCCACTTAAACCAAAAGGGCAGGTGGGCTTTAGGTCAAGCTGGATCCAGGAGGACGAGGACTGCAGTCATACTGTTTCTCTGCCTCTCCGAGCTCTGCTTTTGGATATAGGTTTCCTGCCTTAGGGTGACCCTCAGCTGATCCACAAGTCACAGATTTTTTTTTTTTTTTTTTTGCTTCATGGCTGGGTGTAAACAGGTTCTCAAACTAGCCAAGTTCTTTACCAGTGAGCTACAACCTTAGCCCTTCTCTTGTTCCTCCCTCTACCCACCCCGTGGTCCTGGGCTTTGAACCCAGGGTGCTTAACCACTGAGCCACATCCCCAGCCATTTTTCTCAAGATGGATGTTTTAGTTTTAAGGGGAGACAATATCTTTATTTTACATTTATGTGGTGCTGAGGATCCAACTCAGGGCCTCAAGCAGGCTACGCAAGACTATCACCAAGCCACAAACCAGCCCCCAGCCATTTTTTAATATTTTATTTAGAGACGAGGTCTCACTGAGTTGCTCAGGGCCTCACTAAGTGGCTGAGGCTGGCCTCCAACTTGAGATCCTCCTGCCTCAGCCTCCTGAGCCACTTGGGATGACAGAAGTGAGCCACTGCTCCTGGTGTTGATTATCTTTTCAAATGCTTATTTGACACCCGTGTGTCCTTTTCAATGTTCAGTGAAAGGTCTTGTCTCTCCAGCCCCACCCCCTGGAGTTAGTTTTTCATTGTGCTAGAAGATCAGTGATTTTGTTTCATTTATTTTTAAAATATTTTTAGTTGTAGATGGACACAGTACCTTTATTTATTTATTTATGTGGTACTGAGAATCGAACCCAGTGCCTCTCACCTGCTAGGCAAGTGCTCTACCACTGAGCCACAGCCCCACCCCAGTGATTTTATTTTTTAATTTAGCTAATATTATGCAGGTAATACATTTACAAGTTTTGAAAAGACTATGTGTCTTAAACTGAAAAACAGGAACTCCTGTTCAGACCCCATTGCTCAAAGGAAATCATGATCAATTCCTTTTTTTTCTTGTATGTGCCTCTGTGTGACATGCTTCTATCATACTGTTAGATTTTTTTAAATTTTAATTATTATTTTTGGTGCCAGGGATTGAATTCAAGGACTTTTATCCACTGATTCACATCCCCAGCCCGTTTTATTTTTTTATTTTTAGTCAGGGTCTCACTAGGTTGCTCACAGCCTCACTAAGTTGCTGAGGCTGGCCTCCAGCTCGAGATCCTCCTGCCTCAGCCTCCCAATCTGCTGGGATTATAGGCATGAGCCACCGCACCAGCTACAACGGCTAGACTTAACTTTAGACCTTTTCTGCTGACTCCCTACCATTAACAAGGAGCTTTCTTATGTCTTCCCACCAATTCCACCATGACCCAAATAGAGTTACCACAAAATCTGGCTCAGTGCTTAGTTACCATGAGTACGTACACGTCAAAGTCCTCATCGGCCAAGATGCGGTCGAGGAGTCGGAGGCCATTCTGGTGGCCAGTTCTCCCTCCCAGTCTTCTCGCCTGCCCTTCTGGAATCCCCAGTGGAGCTGGGTGGTGGGGTGCAGGGCTGCTTCCTAGCTGTTTGGGAGCTGAGTGGGGGAGGGGCTGGGCTTCCAGTTTTCCCTTCTGGACCCCCCCACCGAGACCACCCTGTCTTCTGCTGGGCCTGAGGGTCCCACCCAGGGTTCCCTGGTTCAGTTCTACAGATGTAAGACACAGGGCTCCCAGTTAAAGTGGGATTTCAGAGAAGGGACTCAGGATAAGTATATCCCACAGAACGTTTGGGATATACTTATACTAACATTTGGGATATACTTATACTAGCATTTGGGATATACTA